CGATGATACCGATCAATACTTGGAATAAACCAGATATAATTCTTCGTGTCTTAGTGATTTCTATGTGTAACGTGTGGAACGCCTCTTATAACACGGAAGTAATTCCTAAATGGGGTATTTTTTTAATAAAATTAAATTCATTGTCTTTTAAGACAGACAGCACTTGCTAGTTAGGCTAAATAAAACAAGGGTAACCATTTTATTTATTTTTAATTACAATTATAATTAGTACTGTTGGACTATACATGAAAATCCAACAATGACAATGATATTACGGTTAATTTAAGAAGTAGTATAAACTATTACAATATATATGTGTATCATTAATCCCGCGTAGAAAGCGAATGCTGTTTCGAGCATGCGAGTTATCTTAGCATCTGGCTGCAATATGGCGCCTAAAGGAATAAAAACGGAGAGATAAATATAATAGGCTGTCTCGCTCATTACGCTAAACAATATAGCTGTCAACTTAATAAATAAGTCCCATTAGGGAAAACAAAGTTTTCCCATTGACTCTTAGAGTTAGGCCAATACTCGCTGATAAACGCTTTTAAAATAGTTGTAATAACTTTTTTATACACAAGCGCCGAATCGACAAACGTAGATAGACAGAAGTTGGGTTTTTTATTTCTTTCGTAGCGCCACAATTGCAGCCAAAATTGTCTCCAACGAATTACAAAACCTCAATTAGTGCATTGACAATCCAATATTATGTGATAATAACTTACTTAAACATTGATTATTCATGTACTTTCTAACATAGATAGACGTATTTATAACCGTCTATGTCTTAACCCTAAACATTGAAATCTATACCGGCAAATGTATCTAGAGGAGAGGGAACAGTGCTGCCAAATTTCCAGCATGGTATAATTTTTTTTTTATTATTTTGTGTTTCAATTATACGTTAACATACAACTTGATACAATGGAAACTACGATAAAATCCCCGTTAAATATTAAAACTACAATCATACGACATACAATGTAATTGAGCTACGTGATTATGTTTCTTTAGACACTTACTGATTTTTTTTTATTTCTACATTATATTAACCGTAAATAAAGTGTTATAAAATGGGTATAGGAAAGTCATTACCTCTAAAGCCCATTCGTATCAAATTATAACAACATATTATGTATATGTATATATATATATATATATATATATATATATATATATATATATATATATAATAAACTTACTAGCAATGACTCCATCCAGCAATGACACAGCAAAATAAATTTAACAACAGTTGCAAATTAACATTTCAAATGCAATATATTATATAGCGAAGGTTTACAAAAAACTTGAATGTTGACTTGAAATGAAGTTATGAAGAATTTACCAATTATTATAAAGTAATTTCATACAGGATGACCTATGGTCCAACATTCAATCACAACTCAATTTTAAGACGTCGTTAAGTATCGTGTTGTCACAGTCACTTTGACTTGAAATGACAGAGACAGCACGAGACTTAACGGCTTCTTAAAATTGAGCAGCGTTGGAGACCTAGACATACAAACATATATCAATGGAGAGTAACAACATATTTTTGACAGATATGTTTCCTTATCCGTTTCTACATCCGCTTCGCACTCCTTAGCTAGTTAGTAGTATATTTCGTCAAATAATATCTCAATAAGTTTGTCATAATTCCGAGGGTAAAATATGTTAAACACTAGGAACCCGTAAATACCATAAAAGGTCATTCAAATACATATACTATTTGAAACATCTGAATAGTTAAATCACTACAGTTGGGTTCTTTGACTCATTTAATAATATTTACCTAGTGTGAACAGAATATGAAGATGATTAATATTGTTTGTAACGATACTTTTGTGAAATAGAGGTGACAATGGAGCACACGGTCCACCTGATGGTAAGTGGGTGCTGTGGCCCATAGACATCTACATTTATCCTCGAATAAGAATCAAAATGTAGAATCGTTATCACCTCTTAGGACTAAAATGGAATAAATCGTTGCAAGTAAAAAGTTCTTAAAATATTTTTATAATTATTTATATAAATAAACTGTTTTGTCTGAGAAAAATTGATATCTCATCTTTGGAATGTTGTAAAATATATTTGTTGAGGTCAACATGTATGAAATACCTTAACTTCAAATATTCTAACATTAAATGTTATACATTAAAGTACATCTATCTACCCTCACAACATTGACAATATGTGAACTTAGCCCTACCAGTATAAATATGATTATTATGATTTACCGACAGTGAGTTAACTTGACTTCCAGTTGTTGCATTTTAAATACAACAATAATTTTTAAAAATATATATTGTATTATAGTTACGGTATGATTATTTTTAAACATGAATATTGTATACAAAAATGATAATCAATAAAATATACGTCGTTTAAAAAAAACCGTAAAGAATTTAAAATTTAATGTAAACATTTTCTTTGAATTCAAATAGGAAACTGACAAAAAATTGACCAGCGAAGACGAAAGCGCAAAATGAAATATCAAGCAACACTGTTCCTCTTACAAAAATTCCAATTAAATACAATTCGTACAAAATTCTGACACACCCTTTACCATAGCACAACCTTTACCGTGTCCGCATTTTTTACAAATTCTGTTCTATAGTGAAATGTTAAATAAATTGAAATACACCCATTTAGTATATGTTTACATACCTCCTATACTGTAATGTTGAAAAATGCATATAAAGTATAACCGAAAACGCATTTACACACATACACACGATCACATACATACACACAACCATGCATACATACATAAAACTTACAACTTCAATATGTACAATCTTTAATCGTATTCACCAATGGCAAAACTTGGCCAAAAAATATAAGGATTTTTTCAAATATAATGGGCATGAGTCCAATTGGCCACCTAGATAGACAGTTCACTTTGATTTGTACAAAAAAAATATTAAAATCACACGTCTACGATAACAAAAAATCTTCCCAACATATGAGATGTATCGCGGGGGACCGATTACATCCCTATGTTTTATAAGTCTGGACTCATTCTGGAGTTTCATCTATAAAAAATTTTGACTCGTCCACATATTTATATAATTTAATATTAATTTGAGCACATCAATGTAAAATCTATGAAATTAATTAGTAATATTGACGTAAATAAAAGAAATCAGAACTATACTGTGAAAACATTAATAAATAAAAGGTAGAATTTACAAAATTTGTCACAAAAACAATCGTTAGCAATATTTTCATCACCAAGATTCAAAACCGTGTATGGGTGTTACGTTTAATATTTCTATATCTGTTCTTAAAATCTCACAATACCCATTATTACGTACGCATTGCACCTTTGACACCTCCTTTTTTTAATTTATGGCAATCTCACGTCATTTCTGCAATGTTAGAAATTTGTAAAAAAAAGTTCAAAGCACTAAATGTTTTAGCCCATAGCATGACAGTATACCTAGTTCCCCTCACTACATTCAATGTGGTAAAGGGTAGTGTCAGATTCATCCAGCCTATGTATATTTATTATGTCGATAGGTCGAAAGCTTGGGTCACAATACACAGGACAAGGACTTCTTGGTAAGTCTTTGGTAATTTTTCACAAGAATTGCTAAGTTTCAGTGATTAAGGGAACCAGCACAATCGATTCGTTCGAATTGATATTAAACCGTTTTACCTTAATACAAAGCGTAAAGAAACGAAATGGAAATATAAGATGGTTTGAAATATTTTAGTTTTGTGGCTAGTTTTTATAGTCCCCAGGAACATACATTTCAAAGAAATATTATTTATATGAACAGAAATATTGAACATGAATAATATTATAATGCGTTAATTATGATCCATCAATCTCAAATCAAAATCTAATTTCCAATTACATTAAACACTGAAGAGTGAACAAGTTTGAAACGGAAATATTTAAAAATTGGAGCTTACTTATTTGAAATGTGGAGAGACTATTTAAGCCGCAGGAAAATATAAAACCTCACCTATTTAGTACAAAATGGAGGTCCAATGCTAGACGCAATGGTTACAACTAGTAATTTTAACTTTATATCTGACCGAACCTTAAGTTTCTTTTTTTTTTTTAATTTTTAAACATGATTACAACAAAATTAAAAACAATTAAATCCTTTTCATGCTATCCTATATAGGGCATCAAGTCGTAGAAAAAATGAATTAATTAACAATACATATTATGACAAATAATATCCGAATTTAAAAATTCAATTTAAATCATAAAATATTAAATATATATTTTATAGAAATAACTGTCATAGAAATTAAAATCAAGACCGGTCATAAATATATACATCGGACTTTAGGAAGATACCACGGCTTTAAAGAGCGTCGCCTCTGTCGCGTGAAATTACTATCAGAAATCATTTAAGAGGTGTAAAATATTATTTGTAATTGAATTACGAAACCCTTTATAAATACAGTTTAAAGTAAATGCGAACCCTAAGTAAGAAACCTTAGAAAGACAAGATTGAGACGAAATATTACACAGATTTAAATGAGATAACGCTCTACAAAGCTGAAGATAGCCGATAATGGCCTGATAATGCTTGACGTGATTATACGACCGGATATGAAAATAATATAGCGTTTAATATATACTATTTTATAATATTTACCACCAATATTAATCGCATCATAACAAAACAATACCAGAAATTAATTTGGACATTCATAAAAATAGATAACATCCAGTTACATTGATAATACTTAGGCATATCCACAGCACACCAACATACGTTTTCACCAAGAAAATACCTTTTAATACACATTTAAAATAAAAACCTAGGCTAAAAGCCAAAATATTTATACCTTTAAATCTATGTAAAATGGTTTCGACACACATTTAAAGAGTGCGATTATATTATGTATGGTACGACTAAATGAATGTTAGCAAAATCTCGGATAGACCCGAACGTTGGAAAGCCTGGTACTGATTGTAACAAGCGACCGGTATAGCCTTAACTAGGTTCCGACTGCCCGCTCCAGATGATTCACACGCTGCCTTTGCTCTCGCTGCCGCCGTCTTGTTGTGGTTCTAAACTGCTTCTGAAATATTTTTTTTTTAGAATAAGGGCGACAAACGAGCACTCAGTACAGCTGATGGTAAGTAAATCTTTCTTTACATTGAACCCTATACCTCTTACTCACGTCCCAAAACGCACTCGATAATTTTATTTTAGCACTCACAGGCAAATCAAAGTACACAGAAGTAATCATGACCGTTTGAATTGACGCCTATGAAAAAGATTGGTACATCTATCAGTACATATTTTTTTTTTATTGGATAAGGGTGAAAAACGAGCACACAGGCCACCTGATGGTAAGTGTTTGCTGCGGCCCATAGACTTCTACATCTATCCTCCATTACAAATCAAAATGTAGATTCGTTGTCACCCGTGAGGACTAAGATGGAATGCCTCATTTCCAGTAAAAAGGGCCTCCAGCCACCTGCACTCACCAAGCGAAACGCAGAGGTAAACCTCTACTTCACGCTGGTTTTCTGTGAGGTCGTGGTACCACCCCGGTTCGAGCCGGCCCATCCGTGCGACAGCAAAAGCTGCCGCGTGGCTCTACCACTGATAAATGAAGTGTTCTTATTTTTACAAGTTAAAATGGTTGGAACCATTTAAAACCGTGCAAGAGCTCTAGTAGTCAAAAAAGATTATTAAAATCGTTATAATGATACTGCTTATTGATTTGCTAACAAACCTTTTTTCTGTTTCTGTTCTGTTTAAAGATTTCTCTTATACACATCAGATCGAAGTGGAGAAATTGTGTTCTACGATCGGTCAAAAAACTAAGGTAGGGTTCTAATGTGAAGAAAAGTTTAAATTTTTTTAATGTAAATAGTAAAGGAGTAGGAGAGGGCATCCTGTAGATTCTCCTCCTCTTATTATTGAGTTTCGGAAAATGTCCGCTTAATTGCCTCAATACGTATTACCGGGCTTTAAAGCCTTCGAAATATTTTTATTGTTGAGCGCGCAGGCTCGTTCAAATATATGTATATTTGTACAAGCACCGCCGCGCACTTATTTCAACCTGCATAACACACCGTTTAAGGATTTCGTTACCGTACAAAGAACTCTCAAATTTTGGTCTAATGTATAATATACAGGATTATTTTGCAACAATTGGGTAAATTTGCAAAGAAGGTTCAGAATAAGTGATACAGGAAAATAGTGTAGAAAAGTTAATTACAAAGATTCTGTTTCTTTTTATTTTTTAAATTTAAAATGCGTGGTAATGTATTAACTAAATGATTTCATTGCGCACGCACATATTCATAAGGATGGATCGGTAGGCAAAAACGTCGTTGCCCATAAGTCACATTAAATTTAGGATAATTTCAAATAAAAGTAGAAGCTTTATTTACTCGTATTTTCAAAAACTGCAGTAATTATATTATCATTATTTATATATTTGAACATAAGTTAAAAAAAATATTTTATTGAACTACTATTTATTATTATTATATACTATATTATACATACTATTTAAATCTACTATTTGTAAAGTAACCCTGTATAATATAAAAGACACTGTACTTACGCGAGCATACGACACTTAACATTGCTACGGAATATGGTACTAACACGGGCTCGACGAAGTTAGATTAATATACATAAAACTAGTGTGTAATGTAGTTGATATATTTTATTTCATAACCTACACACAAAACAAGAATGTTTTTTTCCCTGTATGTAGAGTATATTAAATATATATATATGTAGAGTACATTAAATATAAAACAATAATTTATATATTATATTCTAAAACTTATTCTTGTAATTACATTTAAAAATCAACTACGCGCGACAGCCGCGTAGCGCTCGGGCTCGTAGCGTACTACGGTGCACGTAACTTACGCGCACGTAGCAGTGCTACGGGGCGCGGTAGTTACGCTGGCCCGAAAAAACGCGCGTGTTCGTTGCGGTGCTACGGGTCACTGTGGTTACGGTTAGTTCGAGGAAACGCGCGGCGGCCGTGTAGTAGTAGGTCACGTAGCGGTGCTACGGGGCGCGGTACTTACGCGGGCTCGAGGAAGCGCGCGGCGGCCGCGTAGCGCGCCGGCTCGTAGTCCTCGGAGTCGGCGGCGCGGCCGCGTGTCAGTCCGCGCACGTGTTCTCGGAACGCGGCCCGTACGGCGCCCTCCTCCACCCTCTGTAGTTGTTCCGACGCCTCGGCGAAGCTCTCTGCAAGCGATTGTATTTTTTTATATATATACTAGCTGACCAGGTAGACGTTGGTCTGCGTTTTCTGACGACCATTTCCTTCCCAAAAAACCAACTCCTGAGATTAGCAATAAAAAAAATTGAGGGTCCCTTATCGGGATAAAAACTATCCTATCTCTCAAGTTGGACTAAACTGCACACCATGTGCAAAATTTCAAAGAAATCAGTTCAGTAGTTTAGGAGTTCATCGCGGACAAACAACGTGACACATAATTTTTATATATATAAAGATAGAACTAGCGATCCGCCCCGGCAGCACACGTGTGATTTCTGGATTTCGGCAACAGCGCCACGTACCAGGTTCAAAATAATCTAGAGAATCATTCAAACAAAAAAAAATTCATCAAAATCGGTCAAGCCGTTCTTGAATTATAACGAGACCAATGGACAGCAATTCAGAGATATAACACTGACAAACAACTACAGCCCACCTGATGGTAAATTGATGATGTGGCTTATACACATCTATATCTATTCTTGATTAGAAATCTAAATGCACATGTCATCCCTGAAGACTAAGACGGAATGCCTCGTATCCAATAAAAAGGGTCTCCAGTTCTCTACACTCACTATGTAAAACACTACAACATTGATCTGCAATTTTACGCTCATATTCTGTAAGATCGTGGTCCTGCCCCGATCGAACCAAGCCCCGATAGGTAAGCGCCCTAACGCTCGATGATTCGTGGCGCAGTTATACCGCTAAGGGCCGCGGGTTCGAATCCTGCACGGAACAAATTTTGTAGTTTACAAATAATTCCGGGCCTGGATGTAAGTCGTAGTGAAATTAATCTATGTAAACTGCCTTAACTGAAATAATAAAAAATAACAAATTACAAGCTCACCATTAATGAATCCGTCGAGCGTTGTTGACGGTCTCGACTGACGAACGCATCTGCGCTTGCGGGAGGGCATGCCAGAGAGGTACGCGTCGCTGTACGGAGGCTGTTCACTGCGCTGAATGAGTTGGTCACGCGAGAACACCGGCACCCACTCCTCACCCCAGTGCTGCATGATCAGCACCGGTGGAACCTATATGTGAGAAAGTTACCGTCATCAATATTCCGAACGGTGAGGGGGTAAGGAATCTCATATCCTTCACTTTGTTTTCTCAGAATGAAAAGTATGAGAAACAATTTTCTTTGTTTTCTCAAATATGGTAAGTGTAAAACCGGAGACCCTTTTTACTGAAAACGAGGCATACCATCTTAGTCCTTGGGGCTGACAACGCATCTGCATTTTGATTTTTAATCAAGGATTAATGTAAATATATATTAGCCACAACATCCTCTTGCCATCTAGTAGACAGTGTGCTCGTTTGTCACAATTTATTTATAAAAAAAAAGGAATGTGGCATAATAGCCTAATAAATGCCGATCCACCTGCCAAGTAACAATTACAGAAAATCGTTTCTGAAATGGGACAGACCTTTCTCCAGCAGTGAATTATTATTGATAAATAATTAATACTGATATAAAATAAACATAATGACAACGAAGAACTGTGTCAAAGGGCGATTACGAACATCTTGCCGTTGCCGACCCTGCTGTTACTTCAACAGTCGCACCGGAGGCCCATTAACAAGTGACGTATTTCAAAATGACTCACCGTTATTAGCCTAAAATTAATTCGTAGTAACAATACCAAACGCGAAGCATTCAATAAGTTGCTTAACATCAAGCTCGTTATCCGAGTTCCAGTCAATATGGGACTGAAATCTTTGTCATCACTGCAGCTAAAGTTCGATATCTGAATTTAAGCCTCCCTGCATAGTCTGGTCATCAACAGACGGTTTTGAGCCGCCTCTATCCATCGACTACCTGCATTTGTCATTAGATCGTCACTCTCCGCACACTCTTGTATAAATTTTATATGGAACGGACCAAAGTGCAAGCAAAGTTTATTTGCACTACAGTTTACATAAACTCCAAAATATAACATACTCATATAATATATCTTCCACAAGAGACTTCTCCCAAACTAAATAAAGGACGGGCCATTTAAGATTTGGAATTTGAAGCGTCTATGGAAAAACTAATGAATATTTTTTTGAAAATTATAAGTTTATTGGAAATATCGAACCTTCCCATTTAGGAATGAAAGACAACATCGTTCAAATGACTGCCACGGCTAGCCTTACAATACCCCATTCGATCAGTCCAATTTGTCAGTACATTTTCGATTGTTTACGCCTCTATTTCGTCAACGGCAACTTCGATTTTATGTTTCAAGTCGTCATTCGTCGCTTCGAGTTGGCCAATTGACATCAGCATTTCGGCTGATTATGTAATTTTGGAAAACAGTGCACAAAAAGCGATTGTTACGTTGGTTGTGTGGCACGTTGCTGCCGTCCTGTTAAAACTAAATGTCCTCTATGTCTAAAATCGAATGTTACCGAAAATCGATGCTTAGCATGGCGCGGTAGCGATCGCCATTCACTGTAACGGCGTTTTCTTGCTCATTTTCGAAGAAAAATGGCTCAATAATGCTGCCAGACTCGTTGTGGATGCATTGGTTTCTATAGGATAACGTGTGGATTTTCTGAGCCCCATAAACGACAATTTTGCGTATTGTCGTATGCTCCGAGGTGGAAATGAGCTTCATCTCAAAGGATGATTTTAGGTAAAAATGCTCATCTTCTTCGATCACAGTCTTCGGTCCATTGAGTAAACCAAGAAAGTATCGGATGGTCATGCGGCTTCAGCACTCGCACTAATTGAACTTTGTACGCATTCACACCGAAATCTTTCTTTTTTTATATTACTTTAAGTCACCGCTTAAATACCTGATTATAAGTAGTTATGTAGCTTAAGATGGTGAAGCGCACTGACTTAACAAAAGCCTATTCACTCTTGCCTTGAAGACACCTACACTGTAATCGGATGGAAAGACAGAGACAAAGCTGGCAACTTATTCCACTCCTTTGTTGTACGCATGATGAACGACACAGCAAACTGTTTGGTTCGAATGAGTGGTAAGTCAACAACGAAAGGATGGACTGGCCGAACATCTGGTTGTTCGATGGTGGAAGGGGGAGGGAGAAAATTAAATTATGCAATTCCTGCGCACACTCCGAAATGCATGCTGTAGACAACCGAAAGGCTGGCTACTTTGCACCTGTGCTCGAGGCTGATAAGATTGATTTTAACCAAATTCGGGTCACCAATAATCCTCTTAGCATGCCTTTCCATTGAGTCCAAAGCCCATATATGGCAGCAATACTCGACTTGCGCTTTATATAAAGTAAGCAGCTCTCCCGGCGTGAAGTATCGCCACACCTTTGCAAGGACTCCTTGCAAAGGTGTGGCTTTATGCAAAATTCTTCTCTAAGAAGTGCGTGAAATATTCAATTCTTGAGTACGATGACGAGTTGATGTTGATTTTTTTTATAAGATAAGGGTGACAAACGAGCACACATTCCAACTGATGGTAAGTGGTTGCTGCGGCCCATAGACATCTACATCTATACTCGATAACGAATCAAAATGAGGATGCGTTGTCGTTCGTGAGGACTAAGATGAAATGCCTCGTTTCCAGTAAAAAGGGTCTCCGGTTCTCTACACTCACCGTACAAAACACAGCAGCGTTGAGCTGCTATTTTACGTTGGTATTCTGTGAGATGGTTGGTGGAAGTTGATGGTTGTTCACGCATACTCTGAGCAACAGCAGCGGTGTTTTCGGTTGAGCGCACTAGACGAGTACGTACACGGGTTGTTTCATCCAACAACGATCCAGTTTCACGAACTCGCTTTACAAATTAATCTACAAAGTTTTTAGCACATCCTTTTTGTCAATTTATTTTCGTAAACTACTTAAAGTTTAAGTAGAATACTCACCACTTTAGAAATAAGTCTTTAATATTTCCCAACATTGTTCAAGCTAAAAGTAACCCGTTTCATACATGTGAAACATAAAACTAACTTTCTGTCACATCGGAAATGACATCAAACCTTCCAACCTCAAAGTAGCCTATAGTTCGAATTCCAAACGTTAGATGACCGAGCCTTTACAAGGCGAGTCAAAAATTCGTTCAGTCAACAGTGAGTTGATACCATTAACATCCTGATCATTAAGGATGTCATCAGGTGAGATTTTAGTCTAACATGAGATCATCTTATACACAAAACATAAATGAATAGTTTATATCCCTGAACTATCTCACTATAATTCACGCGTTATAGATTTTTACCTCGAACATAGTAACACAGCAATATACACTGTCAAATATGTAAATCTATAACACACATGACATTTGAATCCAGGAACCCACAACGCATAAGGCAGGTGCGCTGATATTCACAAAGATACATTAAGAAAACCAAAAAAAACTAACTTCAAAACATTCATAATTAATATAATATGTGTATATTTATACATAAACTCAAATTCAAATTGTTTATTGCATGTCTTACGCGTTTTTTATAAGTATTTGGCAACTAAGAGAAGCAATTTTTGTTTGTTTGTTTAGAATTTTTTCAGTTTTTTACTTTTACAAAATTTGTTTGAATTGATGATATTAGGTTTTTAATAAAAAACTTAAAAAAAAACTTTTAAAACGTCGCTTTCTTCGCTCAGCCAATTTTATCTCGATAATAATTAATCTTACCACTCGAATATTTGCTGGCGACTCGGGCGCGCTACGCGATGATGAATCCGATTTTGCGGCTCTTGAAGTCCTGAGATAGAAAATTAAATTCATGTAATTACCCTTTCCCATCACCTAAATAAAGAAAATGAAAAAAAAAAAAAATCGTCGTTACTCTTGTATTACACCGCGGACCGCGGTCATTTTGTTAAAGTAAAGTAAATAAGTAAGGTTAAATAAAGAGTAAAATTAAATAAAATAATATTAAAATATCGTTTTTAATGTTTTAGTTATTATTTATAAATTTATAACAGTGAGATCTAGGATCGTCGGTAGTTCTTCACTATTTACTTATTTCTTTTTAAGTTCAAAAAAATAAATCAAATAAACAAATCAATAAAAAGTGTATTTAGAAGTACAATTTTTTTAAATTTATGAGCAGTCGGAAGGTGTCTAACAAGGCTCGTTTGGCTGTGCATGAGGAGGTGTTGGTTCAGACACTCATGTACGGAAGTGAAAGTTGGGTATGGCAGAAGAAACATGAAAGCAGAATAAATGCAGTTGAAATGAGAGCGTTAAGAAGTATGATAGGAGTTAAACTGAGTGACAGGATAAGAAATAGTGAGATAAGGAAACGTTGTGGTCTGAAAGAAGATGTATGACAAAAATTGAGAAAGGTATGCTGAAATGGTTTGGCCATGTCGAGAGAATGAATGAAGAACGATTGACGAAAAAAGTGTATAAGGCGAGTGTGAATGAAAGTGTTGGAAGGGATAAACCTAGGCGGACATTTCAAGACCAAATCAGGGACGTCTTGAAAAAAGGCCAGGTAAAGATTACCCTAAACCGTATGTATGAAGGGAATAATGACGGGAAAGAGGCGTGATTAACTGTATGTATGTATGTAATTTTTTTAAATTTTGTATTAAATATTATGGCTAATGTTAGAAAGCGTGATGAGATGAAATTCTTATAATATCTAAAGTGATTCAATAAGCAATATTAAATTTACTTAATAACTAATGTTATTATTATTTACGGAAATTTCTATTAGGTTCTCGTCCGATTGGAATGCATAACTTATATAAATATAGTTTAAGTACATACTTAATTTTCTGGCTCTCTGGCTTTATGAGGCCGTAAATGTCTGCTTTAGGACAAGTGCCTCTCTCGTTTTAGGAAGGATTTGTCTTTCGTTTCGTTAGCAGGTGGAATGACGATGGTAGTACTAGACGTTACTGCGTTACGTTAGTTACTATTTATACTTAATTATATAGAATGTCCCTGAAGTCGACGTTTCGACAACATATAAACATATCGACGTCGAAAAAATATACTACACGAGTACGAGTTGCTTACCTCTCGTACTCGTACGAAGGGAGGAAAATTTATTTAAAACTGAGTTTTTTAAAAAATGTTTGTCTACATAATTTAACAAATAATCTTGGAAGTGTTATACCATTTTGGAATCCTTATTGAATGCGCCAGCTTTTAAAGTTAATCACCAAACTCGTGTAGTATGTTTTTTTCAATATTTTTTTTTCAATAGTTTACAGTACAATAGTTACATTTCCTTCTGGACTGGAGTAGTTGGCTGTAAATTTTAAGCAACAGTTTTCAGAAGCATTATTCAGGATTACAAAATAAAAAGAAAATTTAAAAAAGTTAAAATTTGTAGCAACAGAACTCCTGTTAAAAGACCGTCACAGGATGTAGATTTTCTCGATTTTTTATAAACACGTACTATATAATTTAAAAAAACATAGCAAAAATTTTTTTTTGTTTTTCCTGTTAACTATTATGACTTCATCTATCACCCGATTCCAGCTTGAAGTCGACTTCTATTCTTCTGTATTTCATAAAATAAAATAAAATATAGATAAATAAAATGAAAAATGCTTCCGTGGTTTGGACACGTAGCAAGTAAAAATGAAGAAGATAATATGTTATGGAAGTAAATGGCAGAGTCGGCAAGGGACACCTCAGGTTTTCTTCCAAAATTTATTTTCATAAATTATTAATATTTGGTAGACATATTAAATGTGTCAAAATTAGAATTTTCCATTGAAAAGGTTGCACATGCTAAAACGATTTGTGAATTTAACATATCGTTATTCAGCAATTCAGCAATATTGGCCGTAACGTAATGTGTAATTAAAAAATAATTTTTAAACTACCCCCGTGACTACACCTGCCTTAAGTGTTGTGGGTTTAAAATATATTCAATTGCTGTATCTCTATTTTTGATCTTGTGTGCTTCATTCTCTAGTCAAGTGTTCTTGATATTTAGGTCTTGTGCTGTGAGTCATCGACACTGCAGAAAAATCTCACCCTAATCGCTTTAACTATAAGGTAAGGTTTGCATATAATCAGAAGCAGTAACTGTGATAAAAAGAACGAGAAAACACAATGGTTCCAAGTGATGACCCTCGGTTAATTCGTATGCATATATATATCTACGATTAAACTATCTTTCCCTTCACTTTAATAATCATAATCATAATTTAACTGCTGAACACAGATTTCTCACAGAAATGGTGGAGAGAAGTAAGACTACGAGACAACAGTTGACAAAAGCGTAGTTCAAGCACTGGATTGCTATAATATAACATGAACGTTATAGGACACTACAAAAATATGTATAGTAAACGATCCTTATGCAAATTCATTGCATAAGAATAAATATCATGAGAGCGATGAGAAGATACGTAATATACACTCACTATTTGTTTACAACATAAAGGTCCCGGTCCACTACAATGGTTCATACTAAAAACGTGTTATGCACGTATCATGCTCGAAGAAACACAAGTCACTACTCTGCCCACTAGAACGTATCAACTACGTTCACAATGCGTTCCGTGTGTGTTCCGTACGATTATGATGCCTGTTCTGTCGGTTGTAGTTTATTTTGTCTACATTTTCGTGTCGGGCGAACAGGAGGAACTTTGTGTTCTTGTTGTAAAAATTATTTACATTCAATACCTACACGATGCCTATTAGAATATTATTTTGAAAAATGAGAAACGTACGCGGTCACAACGCATTTAGTCGCCTACGTAAAGCAGATTGGCAAAGTCGAGTGCTTTGTTTTCGTGATTTGTACCGTGTAGTAGCGGCGTAAGGTTATCCACTACCCCATATCATCACGTGGATGTTGTAACCAAAAAATGGGAGCCAGCGTCTTCTTAATAACTAGAAAATAAAAATGCGGCTGACAACCCGCTTGCAAAGCAAGTGTGGCAACTTTGGCAAATATCACTCTTATGATGTAATATATGGCGAGTAGAAGTCATATATATATATATATATATATATATATATATAATTTATAAAATTAATATAGTAAAATTTATGAATGAAAAAAACGACTTGTGATTGATTGTGACGTCATTATATCCGTTAAGACTGTGAGCTTTTATATTTTCTATATTCGGATCACCATGTGTAAACAAAACATGTAACCTGTATTATGCAATGATTTCTTTTAATTTGACAACATAAACATGTGTGTTTTATCATTTCACCATGTGGTGGCGTTACTAATGCGATATAACGACGTCACTGGCGTTTGAATTTACATTTTAGAAAAACTTTCTTAAATTATAAAATTACATGAAAAATCCATTGTTAAAAAAAACTCTTAATAATTTTCAGTAAACTTTCAAAAAAAATTAAAAGCATGCAACTTCTCTATTATCTTCTCGGAATCTACTTTTTTGAAATAACAATTACTTATTGTTCATAAAAACCATTATTTTGTTTTGTGTGGTAATAGGACATTAAACCTTTTTTCAAATAGTGTTTTAAAAGAATCCTACAGTGAAAGTGAATCACTTTAATTGTTATTTTTTAAAACCGAACAGTGCCATAAAATCACTTTTTAATTCATCGTTTTAAATTTTCACGCGAAAGCGCTAGCCGCTTTGCTGTTAAGCTTGTGACGTCACTGTCCTAGAATTTTGCATTGAATAAGATATTTTTGAATGTTTAATAATGAGTTATCGTCTTTATCGTTGTTGGGTTATACCTGAATGCAAAAAATACGAGCATAAGAACGCCGGGGAAGGAAGAAGTAAGTATGACGTATATTTAACTGTTGTTTATACAAAACAAACATCACGAGGTGATAGGTATTGCAAGTCAAATTTTGTAATAGATTAGGTTATCTTAGATATTAACAGCTACTAATTAATTGCTAATGATTGTATTCAAAGATGAACATAGCTATGTATTATCAAAATATACTCTGACTTTGTATAGTGTTATTGTATAAACAAAAGTTAGTAATAGGTACTTACATTGACTCGGCACAACAAAAATCTGGACTGCATGCAAAATATTTTGCCACCATTAATAACTTTATCCTTGATAGATTAGTACTTTCTGTTTTTACGAATCTTATACGTGGTAGAGCCATGCTGCAGCTATATTAGTAGTAAAGTTGTAGCATGAATGGGTCGGCTCGACCGGGGAAGGACCACGCTCTCACAGAATACCAGCGTAAAATAGCAGCATAACGTTGCTGTGTTTCGTATGGTGAGTGTAGAGAACCGGAGACCCTTTTTACTGGAAAAAAGGCATTCCATCTTAGTCCTCACAGGTGACAACGCATCTGAATTTTGATTCGCAAACGAGGATAGATGTAGATGTCTATGGGCCACAGCAACCACTTACCATCAGGTGGACTGTGTTCATTTTTCACCCTATCATATTAAAAAATAATGATGGCTTTTCAATAAAATTCGGAATTAAACTCATCAACCGTAATGATAACCTTAAAAAATTTGCGAAATAACACACAGCACATTAGCTAGTTTACTTAACCAGTGACGTCACGTCGGAATCTAATAAGGCGAATAGCGTTTTGGAGATTTGAGGCACAGATAAAAATATTCTTAAAATTGAATTATAAAATTTCTGAATAAATAAATAAAAAGTATTTATTTGCCCCAAAACAATACAATGTTAAAATTTATTTATTTTAGCTGCTTCATTTCGCTGCGTGATACAGTGTATGCAGAAAGCAAGCATATTTTGTTTATAATGCATTTTTAAGAATAGAAATCAATAATTCTAGTTTACTTTTTACAAAAACTATCATAAAAATATATTTATTGTTTTTTTTTTTACATAGTGTAAAATACTCTTTTAAAGCCGCGGCCCGCTGTCCACTAAACGCTAACATTAAGTCGCATGATTATGAATATATGTTACCTGGAAGGCTGGGGGCTCTGTGCACCATTACTCTGTGCACCGTTCTGCATCACAGGTGATGGCAGCTGGGTTGTTTGTCTTGGGGGAGATGGCTGGCGAGAGGGGGTTGGCTGGCTTGGAGAGGTTGACTGGCTTGAGGGGGTTGGTTGGCTGGTTGATGTGGTCGGAGTTGGTAAGATCACAACAGGATCAGTCATGGTCTCAACGGTAACGGTCTCCGTGGTGTTTTCGTTCGGTCGCGGACGTGGTTGCTCCACTGATGGTGTGGTGGGGGGCGTGGTCTGCATAGGCTCCGGGGTGGGTGACACTTCCATCGGGACTGGCTCTTGGCTTAAGGTCTGTTGCGCCTGAAAGAAAACCCACAATAAACAAGGACATAATTATTATCACAAGTGCGACATAAAATCTAATATATAAAAATTAATAATTGCTTGTTCGTATTTTATACACAGCCATACCATTTATCAGATTGAGGTAAAATTATGTCAACTTATTGCTTGCACTACCGGAAAGGTTATAGGGATAGTACAATTAACTTGCACTGGAGGCGCGTACATCGTACCGACAAATTAATTTGAAAGTTATATATCATTTGTTTTCAATGAATGTATTATCATTCCTAAATAAACAATATTATGCACAATTATTATTCTGCAACTGCAACGCGCCGGGTGCCAGCTAGTACGTAAGTCACTCAATAAGTTTTAAGATATACAAAAAGTATTCTAGATACTATTAATATTTATTTTACATCTTTTCAAAATATTCTCCATCATGCTATATACAAAGTTCCATTCGCCTAAACCAACTCTGTAAACACTTTTGCCAGTCTAGATCTGACAGGTCGGAAATCGCTTCTACGTAGGCAGCCACGGCTTCTTCGGCGCTTGTAAAAACTTGCCTTTAATTTTTTCTTTCTCTTGGGAAAAAAAATCACAAGGAGCTAAGTCAGGGCTTTAGGGTGGGTGACTTAGAGTTTCAACACCAGATTCCTCAATAAATGCTTTTGTTCTAAGGGAGGTATGTGAAGAGGCGTTATCGTGATGCAGCATGATTCCTCGAAGCCCGATTTTTGGTCTTTCCTCCCGCACAGCTTGAAAAGCTTTGGGTAATGCAACTGTAGTATACCATTCAGAGTTCACTGACCTAAAATTATCCAGCAATGACGTCTACAAATGTCCGCTCCGCGAAAAAAACTAGCCACCATTTTTTGCCGACGTTGCGAGGTCTTTGCAGTTTTGTCGGTAACTGTCCTTCTGAGTAGACCCATACAGATGATTGCCTTTTATTTTCCGGATCATATTGATAGATCCATGTCTCGTCATCAGTAAAGATTTCTGAAACACGCCTAGATGCCCCGTTTTCAAAACGTAGACGGATTTCATAGCACCAATCCACACGAGTCTGTTTTTCGCTTTCGGAGAGCAAACGAGGAATCCATCGACAACAAAGCATCCTCACTCCAAGATGTTGATGTAGGATGGTATGAATACTCCCCGAACTAATGCCTACAATCTTTTTGATATCCGTAATGTGATTCGTGGGTCCTTTTGCACCAACAATTCAGTAGTCAATACATTTTCTGCAGTTACTGTTGTTTGCGGGACCTCGGTTCCGGTCATTTTATCGAACAAAAACTGTATTTAAAATAGACGACTGAAGTTATTAAATCGTGGATTGTTATAAATGGATTGGTATATTAAGATAATTTTATTCAATACGGTTAATTTTATTTATTTAATAAATTTTTTAATTGTTTATATTGTTTATTTTAACTGTTAAAATTTATTCTAACCATCTTTAAAGCAACGCACAAAGTGTAAACCGAGATAGTAGGAAATACACTGTATTAAAAATAATAACATTAAATTTAATAGTAAATAATATTAGGAAATGCATTATATAAAAAAAATAGTATTAATGTATATTTTAGCGGATTCGAACCCACAACTGTATTTTATGTCATTCTCTCGCAGGATGAAATCCTATCGATGTATGTGTGTCTCTTTTTAATGTCGCTTTTTCGTTTTCAAGTTTCAAATCACCACAATTCTAAAGAATTTTTACTTCAAAAAGTTAGATAAGATTTTTTTGATGTCACATTTAACAATTAAATACAATGGGAATAAAGTTTTTCATCACACTTTTTTTTTTAACACAGGACACAACATCCATTGGCTGCTATTTGATACTGCAAAGTGGATTTTTCTTATCCTTCACATTTTTACTTCTTAATTTCAGATTTGGTACAGTATTAAATTATTGTCTTAAAAGTGATTAAAGTGGTTAGGTTCAGTTAACTTAGATTATATCATATTGCCCAACAGTTATACGTGGTAGAGCCATGCTGCAGCTATATTAGTAGTATAGTTGTAGCACGAATGGGTCGTCTCGACCGGGGAGGACCACGCTCTCAGAGAATACCAACGTAAAATAGCAGCTTAACACCGCTGTGTTTCGTATGGTATGTTTAGAGAACCGGAGACCATTTTTACTGGAAAAGAGGCATTCCTTCCATCTTAAGTCCTCACGGGTGACAACGCATCTGCATTTTGATTCTTTATTGAGTATAGATGTAGATGGCTATGGGTCACAGCAACCACTAACCCTGAACCTTGTAAAAGTGTGCCGGCATAAAATACTGTCTCGCTCTGCTGAGCACGCAAAGCTTTTTAGAGGCCAATTTGGCCTTCTCTTCTAAGTGACAAGAAACTGCACGTCACTCGATATGTCAACGCCGAGGATTCTGATACCGGCTGTAGCAACAAGGGGAGTGCCATGAAAATAAGGAGACACGGCAAAGGGCTTCTTTTTAGCGGTAAACGCGCAAACTTGTGTCTTCTGGGGATTGAACTGGACTAGATTTAACGTCCCCAATCCGAGACTTTGATCAACAAAGTCTCCACTTCAGACACAAGTTTGTTCCGGTACTCGGCGACGTTTTCCCGAGATATATTGGCACGGCCGGTGTATAAAGCTGATGCTTTATACACCGGCCGTGCCACAGCCGTCACAGCCGTACACCAGTGCCGTCGTCTACATAGCAATGAATGTTACCGGTTTGCAACATATCATTGATATGCAGAAGAAACAGGATTGATGATAGCACGCAACCTTGTGGAACACCAGCGTTAATGGGCTTGTAATCGGAGCATGCACCGTCTACTACGACCTAGATGCTCCGATCAGCCAGAAAACTGGTGATGCAATTGCACAATTTCTCGGGAAGCCCATAGGAAGGAAGCTTCGAAAGAAGCGCTTTGTGCCAAACCCGATCGAAGCCTTCGCTATGTCCAAACTATGGGCCAACGTCTCCCCTTGAACTCCACTGCCTCCGCCCATCTATGAGTTAAATAACCTAGAAGATCACCAGCTGAGCGACCTCCATGGAAACCGTACTGGCGGTCACTAATCATCTGGTGATTCTAAAGGTATATATATATATATATATATATATATATATATATATATATATATATATATATATATATATATATATATATATTATATATATATAAAAGGTAAAACAGATACACCACCACGATACAGGCAAAGTCAATAAAACGTATGCATACGTTTTATATGCACAAATATCATATAAAAAAGATTACAGATCAAAATAAAATAGTAACTTACTTGCGACTCTCTCCCTGGTATGCGATGAATGTGTATCTGTATGTTCTCTATGTTGGAGGCTAGATTTGGACGTACGCGCTGGTAAATATCCATGCATAATGTTATAAGGTATTCATTGATTGCTTCTTCTTCCATTGTAATCACCTCACCCTGGTTAAAAAAAAAATAATATATAATAATATACAATGAACTATATAAAAGCTAACACATTATTAAGACTTTATTACTTAAGGATTTTGTACACTTGACTCATACCGATGCCTAAGCTTGTCCGAATCTGCTGATAAGTCACTCTTTTGTCAGTCTCTATTAAGATATCTCGGCGTATGCGCCGCACAACACTGATGTTATCTTCAGTCGTCGCCGTAGAAGGCCGTCCCTCACGCAGATCATGGGTGAAATTAGTGCGACAACGTTTAAACTCAATAAACCAATAGTAAACAGTGGCACGAGATAGGGCTTCATCGTGAAAGGTCAATCGAAGTCTATCATAACTTTCTTGTTGACTTAAATGACAACGAAAGTCATAAAAAATCATTGTACGAAAATTTTCTCGCGTTAAATTCATGCTGACGTGACACAGACAATTTTCAATTTGTCGCCAAATCGTAAACAAATGACAAATTAATAAAATACATACACAATAATATTGGTAAAGAGTTCCATTTTCAAAATTTGAACTTATTTTTTTATTGTATCGTTTACAAGTGGCCAGTTCTAAAAATTTATCAGTGTCGCCCTCGTAAGAAGCCTGAATGACCTAGACGAAATGGAGACCGAAGAGATTTTACCAAATTCCGTGCAAAGATTTAATAGACTGCAGAGGAGAAATGTATATAAGTGATATATTGCCTATTATGCTTGCGCATCACTGAGAATCATGTTGCGGGCGCGGTGTTAAGCATTTTCAATTACATTGCACGATCTGCTGCTGTAGCTTCGTCCGGTAGGCAATACGAGCTACCAAGTGTTTAAGTTTTTAGTACGTAAGAGTTTTTATTTGTTATGTTTTAGTAACTCTGGGGCTAAACGCTCGCTGTAAATTTCGACCGGGTTAAATCCCGGTGGCACCAACGAAATTGTTAATTGCAATTTTACGCTGAGCGCGTGCTGATTTAGCAAGAATGACAGAGGCCTCACTGTAGGCACAAGGCAAAAAGTGCTAAAAAGGTCCGCATCTTAGTCCTCACGGGTGACAACGCATCTGCATTTTGATTTGCAAACGAGGATAAATGTAGATGTCTATGGGCCACAGCAACCACTTACCATCAGATGGACTGTGTGCTCGTTTGTCACCCTATCCTATAAAAAATTTATTAAGAACTGTAAATATTATAATGTATATAAATGAATAAAGTTACCTTAATTTAATATACATTTAACAGCTCTATATTATATAGGTTCTTTAAAATGGATGAAAAAAGTTGGTCACAAATCTTCATATGGGAGTGAATGACAGAGACAACGCTCTACAAAGTCGAAACTAGCAGATTATAGTCGATAGTCACATTCCATGGCTAAATGCGTTAACTTAAAGTGCACAAATTATAAAGGGTCTAAAAATAACAATGCTACCATAAACCTCACTTACCATGAAAGCAGTGTAGAGTCTGCGAAGCCCCGAATTTCTATCCTCACAACAGTAGTAGACAAGAGTCAGGAGGTCAGTGAACAGCCTGGCGAAGAGCGAGTAGAACCGAGCTGGAAAAAATTCTCCTCGGACCTCGGTCATCAAAGTGGCAATCACTGGGGGCATCCTGGCCCTCAGGAGAGATCTGATGGACGCGTACAGATTGACGTCTGAGCGGAATGGCACTAGTGACGGCTGTAATAAAAACACATATAGTTTTTGTTAGCGTATGCTGTCATACACATGCATATGCGAAATTACTATGCCATAGAAATATAATATATTTTTAAAGTATTGATAGATTAACAAAGTTACAATCGAACCGAGCAATACTAATAACTCGAAGACTTAGTAACATATTTTAAAAATAAATAACTATTTATTCTGTTATTTGTAACTAAATGAAATTAAAGAGACAATAGAATCATTAATTAAGTAAATAGACCAACCATTTCATAAATGAAATTGCTGTAGCTGGCGACCAAGTAATCAGCTGCCCCCTGGAAAGCGTTATCTCTGTTCTCAGCTTCCGAGATGTCGAGGAGATGTTGGATATAGGAACGGAGCTGAATGCGCACAGCGTGGAACTCATTTGGCACCAGCGGTGATTCCCCAGACACGGACTGCAAGAGTTCCGACGCGAAGACGTTGCGAGCCTATGATAAAACACAAGGATTACAACTAAATATTTAAGGTCCCAAGAAAATTATTTAACCGAATAAAAAAATAATAGATATATTATTTAATTTAAGAAAAAAGCATGGTTCGGCAATTAAAATAGCATGCAAATATGCATGTTTATATATCATTTCATCATAATAATTCATTACATATCATTTCAATGAAAAATACTTTTTACTACTTACTACTTAAAAACTTAGATTAACAGCTTAAATTTCAAAAATTCTTTGATTTTTTTTTCTCAAGAATCTAACTGTGAAGTGTTTTTGAAGGTTATTGTATAACAGTCTCATTATTGTGTAAGGTATTTTATTGTGTATTTTTATAGATATCTTATAAAAAAAAATACTTACAACGGCGACTAGGAACGCATTTAGCCAGGCGATAGTCGATGGCGGGTATTGCAGCAAGCGCTCCATCACGAGTATGTCCTCCTAATTTCAATCATACCAAACTTATGTCAAAAAAAATTGGCTTAATGAGTGTTGTGCACGGAGCAAATAAAAAGGGGTGCTGTAACTAGATTTCACTATGTAACAACGCGTGACAATTTGCAGGGTGAGGGGGTGTTCAGCCCCGCCTACTTAACTGTTTTCCATCTACCGATAAATAGTAAAACTACTCGCATTGTTTCATATCGATGTTGCAATGTAGTTTAGCCACCTTGACGACAGATGGCGGCCTAATTAAATATTAAACTAACTAAACTAAATAGTTAAATAATAATGTATAAATAGCAGTTGTTTTGGCTCGCCGCTCACTTAGCGGTTAGCCACCGTAGTCTATATCACCTGAGGATGCCTCGTGTAGAGGCGAAACACGTGTCGTATTGTCGTCAGTGGTGTGTCTTTCCTAGTGAAGTGGTGTTGGGAGTAGCGGTGCTGGGATTAGTGGTGACGGGGATTGTGCACGCAATTGAGGGAGGGCGGGAGGTGCTCTTCAAACTAGGTAAGGACACATCATTTTATTTTATCGAGCGGTAGTACACACATTTTTTGTCAATTTAATAAGATGGCGGCCTGTTTACAAAATGATTACAAAAACCATACAAATAATATTTTGTCGATCAAAAGTTATTTAAGACTAAATGCAAAATAATTTTCAGCACCTTCGTATAATTATTTTACCAATAATGATACGAGCTCGTTACGTCCCTTTATATTTTTAGTTCCCATGACACAAAGTGTCGCCATCTAGTGTCGTGTATTGGACTGGGCAACATATACCGAGTGACGATAAAGTTATCATATTAAATGAAAAGACGTATCATATATATATTTCTTTAAACATACACAACTAAAAAAATATATAACAATTAATATTCTAGGCGCCGTAGCATTTTTTTCGTTTTAATATTAAATAACATCATGTAAATGCTTACAGATATCACCTTATGAATACTAGAAGGTCAAAGACCCATGGCATTTGAAGGCGAAAATACCTAGTTTAAACGTTGCCAATTCAAATTACTCAAATAAAGAAAAAATCAAGCAAAAAATGTACTTACGGCTAACAATTTGAGGCTTAATTTTATGCGCGAAATTAAAAACATAGGGACCGCGCGCTGCGGGTGTGTGATTACAAATTCAAGCGAAAAATTTACTTAAAATAAAGGACTTAAAGACATAATTCTCTATGCGCGAAGTGATAGGAAATGGGACGGAGTGTCTAAATTCATATTTACCTTTGGCGCGTACGACCGATAGTCCGACGCCAGCGTCCTTGGGGATGGTTCATGAGTCGCTTGACCTAATTTTCGTTTTTCGCGTCCTTTTTTTTTGTTTTGTGGACATTTTTATAAGTTTCTTAATTTGTTTGTGATAGGGCACGTTAATAATAGGCTAGATAATCATATTTAATAACTTAGTGGTGTGACAGCCCGTGCGCAATTCCACGCTTTTATTTTTTAACGTCATAACTTTTTTTAAATTTTAAGATGCTTCATTTTCACGTTGTCAGAATAAACCGACATGATTTTTTTTTTCAGAAATTGAATTGTTTTGATTATTAAACTTGAGTGATTTCAAGATTAGTGATTATATATAAAGTGATTAGATATCCAAATAGGATAAAAACCATACCATGAAATTTATGATTCGTTAATAACATCGGATTAGCATCGCCCTACGCGTGCCTAATTACCTATGTATGGTCAAGTGTAGGCATTACAATTACCTATGTCGATGTCACGTGAGCACTGAGCGCTATTGCCGGTTTTACAGGTCACTTCAGGTCAGTAAACTGATATTATCAAGGATGATTTATTTCTTATCCATTTTTTACGCTATTTATTTTGTTTGATAAATGCATTTTTTATTTTCTTTTATTATTGTTTATTTTATTATTTTAACAGACATATATCAACTTGTATTAACTGCTGTGCTATTTAACGTGATAACGTAAGCGCCACCCAGTATAAGGGACTGAGGCAACAAGGGGAGTGCCTTGAAACTGAGGAGATACGACAGAGGGGTTCTTTTTAGCGGTAAACGCGCAAACTTGTGTCTTCTGGGGATTGAACTGGACAATAATAAGCCGCCCCCAGTCTGAGACTGTTCAACAAAGTCTCTATTTCAGACAAAAGTTTGTTCCGGTACTCGGCGACGTTTTCCCGAGAAATATTGGCACGGCCTGTGCATAAAGCATCACCAATGCTGTCGTCTGCATAGCAATGAATGTGATGGCACGCAGCCTTGTGGAACACCAGCATTAATAGGCTTGCAATCGGAGCATACACCGTCTATAACGACCTTGATGCTCCGATCTGTATGAAAACTGGTGATCCAATTTCTCTGGAAGCCCATAGGAAGGGAGCATCGAAAGAAGCGCTTTTTGCCAAACCCGATCGAAGGCCTTCGCTATGTCCAAACTAAAGGCCAACGCCTCCCCCTTGGACTCCACTGCCTCCCGCCCATCTGAGTTAGGTAATCTAGAAGATCACCAGCTGAGCAACCTCGACGGAAATCGTACTGGCAGTCACTAATCAGCTGATAATTCTCAAGGTACCGCATGAGCTGGCAGTTAATAATAATTTCCTTTACTTTGGGGAACAAGGAGGTGATAGCGATAGGCCTGTAGTTGGACGGATCTGAGCGGTCGCCGTTTTTAGGGTTCGGGTGCACCAAAGCTGTCTTCCATGAGTTCAGGACTACTTCTAGGGAGTAGGAGTACCGGAAAAGACACGTTAAAACCGGTGCCAACTCCGGAGCACACGTCTTCAGCACAATAGGTGGGACTCCATCGGGTCCACTCGACTTGTTGACGTCCAGGGAGAGGAGTGCTTTAAGCACCGAGCGCTGTGTAAACAGCACTTCATGCATGGAGCACTCACACCGCGGGATGGTCGGCGGTGTGTTCCCCCCGTCATCAAGAGTCGAGTTGAAAGCAAAAAGATAGCGGATCGGCTTTCTCCTTTGCGTCATGGGCCAGTGAGTCGTCCACCCCGTGCAGAGATGGCAGAGATGACAGAGATGGCAGAAATGGTTGACAGAAGTTTCCTTGGACAGCCTTGGCGAGATACCAGAATGCACGTGTTCCCGAAGGGAGGCGAACCAGTTTCTCGCCAATTCTGGCGATGTGCACTGACTTTGCCTTGGCAATGACACTTTTGAAGGACTTGGAGGCAGTATTATTTTTTATAGTATAGAATAGAATCGAATAATTTTTATTCCATTTAGATTACACGAATACTTATTGAAAGGAATGTATGCTTTTACCACTGATTCGGAAAAAACCGCTGTCCAGCCACGAGCCACAAGCCAGCGGAACTATTTTTAACAATATATTAAAAAAATATTGTGCAACTATTTTTTTACCAACATGTTAAAAAATATGTTGCACAATTAAATATCACATATAGATAATCAAGCGATCACCTCATTCCCAGGGGTTATTATATTTAGTAGTATAATAACACTTATTAAACAATTTTTGCTTACTAAAAAAATTTTAACTTTTTCTTGGTTATGCCCTGCATATTTTCTGGTACTTTGTTGTAAGAGCGTATTCATAAACCCGTGAAGGTATTACTGATAGATCGGGAGATGGTGACAAAAAATAATCTCTCATTTTGAAAATGGCTTCTCTTTGTATAAAGAATTTTAGTATTTTTCCGTGACATTATAACGGGTGGCCCATAAGTCCCTTGAAATGTAAAAAAATAATTTAAAAAAAAACTAATGACATTATGAAAAAGGTTTTTATTTTGTCATAATCCTTATAAAATGGGAATTATTTTTTGAAAATTACATCATCTAAATGTAATCCGTTACGATCGCGGCACTCCTGTAAGCGACGTTTAAAATTATCCATCACTGCGTGGCAAGTAAGCTCTGTAATGTTTGCCATTTCTCTTTGGATATTTTCTTTCAGGACGTCAATTGTCCGCGGGTTGGTTTCGTACACTTTAGTCTTAAGATAACCCCATAAGAAAAAGTCCATTGGGGTCAGATCTGGACTACGTGGTGGCCAAGGAATATCTCCTCTTCGAGAGATCACTTTATTAGGGAAAAGTTGACGGACGACCGGCATAGCGACGTTAGAGGTATGGGCAGTTGCTCCATCTTGTTGAAACCAGGTCCGCGTATTGAAGCCTGGAAAATTCTGCAACTCTGGTGTAAAAAAGTCCTGGATCATAGCTACATACCGTTGTGAAGTAACAGTAAGCGCGCGGCCTCTGCCGTCCTCAAAAAAGTAAGGGCCTATAATGCCATGCGCTGACATAGCCGCCCAAACTGTCACTTTAGGGCTATGTAAGGGCTTTTGATGTTTGCGATTTGGATTTTCGCAACTCCAGTAGCGACAATTTTGCTTATTGACATGGCCGTTGATGTGAAAGTGAGCCTCATCAGAGAATAACACGTTATTAAACGAAGTAAAGCGGTTCAACATTTCATTTGCGAAATTTAGTCTGTGGATAGTGCCAGTATCTTTTAATTCCTGTACTAACTGAATCTTGTACGGGTGAAGATGTAAATCTTTCTTTAAAATTCGCTGTAACGATGTTCTGGGTAAGTTTAATGCACTGGAACGCTTACGAGTAGACTGGGTAGGATTTTCACGAATTGAGTGTTTCACTACATCGATGTTTTCTTCCGTCCGTGATGTCCTTGGTCGACCTGACCGTTGTTTATCCAACGTCGAACCACTCTCTTCGAACTTAATAACCCAGTTCTTAATCGTTTGAACACTTGGAATGTCTTTAAAGTTGCGTAAATTCTGATATTCTCGAAATTTACGCCGCGCAATGGTAGCCGAATCATTGTTTCGATAAAACTCGCGCACACAAAATGCACGGTCCGCACCGGTGAAACGCTCCATGGCGACTGAATTCCCAGAAACCGTCGGTACTCCCCCCGCACCGCGCGCGCCACTCATGCGCGCCTTTTGTATTTTATTCGAAATTTACATTTCTAACGACTTATGGGCCACCTGGTTCATGCCTTTGTAATATAACGTTGTTGGAACAAATCTAAGCTATAATAATTGATGGCATGCAATTCGCAACGACCGACGGGGCTCAAAGGGTTACGTAGAAATGAAAAAAAATAGAACATTTCAGTGTTTACAAATTGTATGCCGTTTTAAAAAATTAGTTTTTTTTATCTTAAAAATACTCTACGAAAATTGGCATGCACCCCTCGTATGACCAAGGGTGGAAAATGTTAGGAAAATGTTGTGAAAATTCAATACAAAATGACCGTGATTTCAAACTACTTCTAATAAAGATAAATATTAATTTTATGACCAAATAATTCTGAAATACAAATGGCATGCATGTTGCACATGATCATTATATTATAAATAATAACAAAAGTTGCAAAAAATTAAATAAACATTTCCGCGTTTTCTATTTGCATGTCGTTTTGTATTTCATAAAAACATATTATTTTAAGTATATACCGAAAATAGCATGCGTATTAAATAACACGATCGTATTTTAAATAATAATGAAAGTTTCATAAAATATATGAAACATTTCCGTGTTTTTAATTTGCATGAACAGAACAGAACAGAAACTTTTTTATTCCATATAGATTATAAATAATACTTATTGAAAGTCACTCTTTTGTTTGATTACCACTGGTTCGGAAAAAACCTCTGTCCTGGGAAGAACCAGCAAGAAACCCAGCGGGACTTTTTTTTAAATAACAGTTTACAATCATGATGTTACACAAATTAACAACACAACAAATTAGAAATAGCTTGGTAGCGATCACCTCATTTCCAGGGGTTACCCCATCATCCATAAATTCCCTAATACTATAATAACCCTTTTTATACAAACTTAGTTTAATAAAGTTTTTGAACTTTGAGCAGGTCAAACTTTGTATATTTTATGGAATTTTGTTTTAAAAGCGTATACATCGCCCCAAGAATGAATTACTGACTCGAGTAACTGGTACTACTAGCTTGTGTCTGTTCCTAGTATTTACAGAATGAATATCACTTATTTTTGTAAAACTATTTTTATTTTTGTGTACGTACATTACATTTTCATAAATGTATTGAGAGGCCAAAGTTAATATATTAATTTCCTTAAATTTTTGTCGCAGCGACTCTTTAGGCTTTAAATCATAAATTGCTCTTATGGCCCTCTTCTGTAAAAGAAATATAATTTCAGAGTCAGCTGCGTGTCCCCATAGCAAAATACCATACGACATTATGCTATGGAAATAGCTAAAGTAAACTAGTCTAGCTGTTTCAACACTGGTTAGACTTCTAATCTTTTTTACAGCATATGCTGCAGAACTAAGTCTGCTTGCTAGTTTTGATATATGGGGGCTCCATTGAAGCTTCGCGTCTAGTGTGATTCCAAGAAAAATGGTGGTATTTACAAGACTCAGTTTCTCCCCATTTAAAATTACATTAGTATTTAATTGTTTGGCATTTGGAGTCATGAATTTCATACATTTCGTTTTAGTACCGTTTTGCATTTCATAAAAACATATTATTTTAAGTATATATCGAAAACGGCATGCGTATTAAATAACACCATCGTATTTTTAATAATAATGAAAGTTTCATAAAAAATTACAAGCATTTCAAAATCACCAAATAAACAATTTTTTTATTTTACGTGACTTTGACAATATACTATATAAAATATTACAGATATTTAGTAAAGTAAACCCGAGTACTTAATAATAGAAACAATAACTTAGTTTGAAGAAAGCCACATACCAATGTATTGGCAGCGGTCTTTTTGTTTATTTAAATAATTTTTTTTATCAATAAACATGCATGCCATTTGTTATTGAAGTTTAAAATAATATTTACAGACAATGTACAAAAAGGCATGCAAAAAAAAACATGGAAATGTTCCTTATTTTTATTTACGTTAAAAAACTTTTTTTATTTTAGTTTTGCACAAAGTTTTTTATGTCAGGCTTGTGTAATATGCATGCCATTTTTTATCAACTTAAATAATGTTTTTTAATGAAATATTGAATGGCATGCAAAATAAAGTCACGGAAATTATAACAGCGTGTTTTGCAATTTTCGTCATGCATGCCACTACTTTACAACTTCCTGTTGTGCATGCCAAATTTGCTAGCGTCAATAAATTATAAAAATTAAGTATTGTTCAAATGGCATGCAGTTTGAAATCACGAAAAGTTGTATTGAATTTTCACAACATTTTCCTAATATTTTCCACCCTTGGTCATACGAGGGGTGCATGCCAATTTTCGTAGAGTATTTTTGAGATTAAAAAAAACTAATTTTTTACAACGGCATGCAATTTGTAAACACGGAAATGTTCTATTTTTTTTTTCATTTCTACGTAACCCTTTGAGCCCCGTCGGCCGTTGAAATTGCATGCCATCAATTATTATAGCTTAGATTTGTTCCAACAACGTTATATTACAAAGGCATGAAATATAATGTCACGGAAAAATACTAAAATTCTTTATACAAAGAGAAGCCATCTTCTTTATGACGTGCAAGCGCGCAAGGGCTCGTAACCCTTCGTAATCTTTCATATTTTAGGGTTAGTTATCAATTCTTAAAAAGGCATGCAGGAGAAAATGGGAGACTATTTTCTGTCACCATCTCCCGATCTATTAGTCTTTAGAGTTGAGTAACTAGCTTGTGTTTGTTTCTAATATTTACAGTATGTACATCGCTATTTTAAATCATACTATTTTTGTTCTTGTGTACATACATTAAATTTTCATAATATATACTGAGACACCAAACTTGATATATTTATTTCTTTAAATTTTTCACAGAAGGACTCCGGACTTAGGTTTTTTCACGAGTGTTTGTTCAACACATGTAAAGCCTCTAATCTTTTTACAGTATATGCGACGGAACCAAGTCAAGCATTATTTATCTATCTGTATATACTTTGAATCTAGGGTTAGTTACAATAAATAGTTTATAGTATGTAGGAAACATTTTGAAATCCCTATTTTACTGTATTATGCATGGTTTGATGTGTTCATATCAAAATAATCATAATTTGATGAGAGAAATGAGGTGAGGGCTGTGCCCAGCAGTGGGACGTATATAGGCTGTAACTATATATAACTGAATATAACTATGTATATATATATATATATAAATTTATCATGTTCTCCAGTAGTGATGCTACAGGCTTATTTATCAACATACTGTAGTCTACTTTTTAGCCATTCACTGTTTTTACCGTGAAATGGTGCTGTACGAATATCCACTGCCCTATAATATCATCCCATTGGTGTCGTAAGAAGTGACAAAACTAAAACTCAAAATAATAAAAACTGTGGTTGCTCTTCCGCATGCCAAGCGCTGCAACAATGACAATCTATTTTAATAGACTTTAATGACAATGATGATGATCAACGTATTTCTACTAAATAATTAGAAAGAGATGGCATGAAAAGTTAGATTGAGAAAGAAAACGCCGGCAAGATATTACAGCGATGGCTAACTTACACGTCTAAGGCTGGATCCACGTTCCCTGATGATATCGATATTCTGGGCGGCCACACGTTCGGAACGCAGACGCATAACGGAAGCGACATGCTGTTGATGTTGTTCCCTGCAACATAAAAAGTAAAACTAGTATTCTTAAAAACAGTTATGCCACTGAAAGACCATATCAACCTTTTCATAAATATATAAAGTTATTTTATAATTGACTTATTTAATATAAGATATTTTTCCCACAAAGTGAGGCAATCCTGTTTTCACCCATTGTACTCGCCCATATAATGATCGATAGGCGGTGCAAGTGAAACATGAACTTTTTCTCTAAATACCAACCTCACTTACATGTGATTAATCCTGGTTTAAAGGGCGAGACTAAAATTAAATATGGCTGAAATATCGATCCAAAATTCTCCAAACACCACTTCGGCAGATTCGTGATGAGTATCTTTGAGGTTGAGCGCTCAACAAGTTTGGCCAATATGTTGCATTTAAGGCAACTCTTTCATGAAATACATACCTGTTGGCACTTTCTTAACGCATTCCAAAGTACATCAGTAAATTTAAAAATGTAGTATGGTAGAGTGTGGTATATTATAGTTGTAGCACGAATAGGTCGGCTCGACCGGGGAAGGACCACGCTCTCACAGAATACTCAGCCAGCAAAATAGCAGCTGAATGCTGCTGTGTTTCGCATGGTGAGTGTGGAGAACCGGAAACCCCTTTTGCTGGAAACGAAGCATTCCATCTTAGTTCTCAGGCGTGACAACGTATCTGTATTTTGATTATTTATTGAGGATAGATATAGATGTCTATGGGCCGCAGCATCCATTTACCATCAGGTGGACTGTGTGCACGCTTATCACCCTTATTCTATTAAAAAAAAATATTATTACTGGGTAATTCCCATCGGCGAGGATTCACACCAGGGTTACACAAGCGCAATGCAGTTCTGACAACCAGTATTACTTACACTTCCTGATGAGATTCGCACCCTCGGTTTACGAATCAATCAATAAACTCGTCTTTTGCAAATTTGTACACCGTTTTAACGCTCATATCAAAAAATATATAAACATTACATGCTGACATGACAAAGGCGTACATATAATACAAATAATATAAATACTGCGTTTGAAAAACATATATCTAAGACTATTTGAAGTTTGCCAATTATAGTCATCATTCATCATCATTACAGCCCTTCAGAAGTCCACTGCTGAACATAGGCCTCCCCCAAAGAATGCCACAAAGCACGGTCCTGAGCCACCTGCATCCATCGACTTCCTGCAAATCTTACCAGGTCGTCACTCCATCTAGTGGGGGGACGCCCTACACTTCGCCTGCCGGTACGAGGCTGCCACTCGAGAACCTTTCTTCCCCATCGGTTGTCGGTTCTTCGAGCTATATGGCCGGCCCATTGCCACTTCAGCTTACTAATCCGTTGGGCTATGTCGGTCACTCTGGTTCTACTGCGGATATCCTCATTTGTGAGTTTATCACGCAGAGAAACTCCGAGCATAGCCCTCTCCATAGCTCGCTGAGCGACCTTGAGCTTCCTCATCCGGCCAGCAGTGAAGGACCACGTCTCAGTTCCGTATGTCATCACTGGCAACACGCACTGGGTGTACAGTCTCGTTTTCAAGTTTTGAGGTATACCTGACGAGAAGATGTGCCGTAATTTCCCGAACGCTGCCCAACCGAGTTGAATCCGTCGATTGACCTCTCGGTCGAAGTTGGACTTACCTAGTCGGACTATTTGTCCCAGGTAAACATACTCGTCAACAACTTCGAGCTTAGTGTTCCCAACAACTACCGGCATAGGTGTGACATGGACATTAAACATGATCTTTGTTTTGTCCATGTTCATCTTAAGACCTATCCGTTGGGAAACACTATTGAGGTCATTGAGCATAGTGCTTAGATCCTCCAGCGATTCTGCCATAAGGACTATATCGTCGGCAAATCGAAGGTGAGTGATGTACTCGCCATTGATGTTGATACCGTATCCTTTCCAGTCCAGAAGCTTGAAAACATCTTCCAATGCAGCGGTAAAGAGTTTCGGGGATATGACGTCACCCTGTCTTACACCTCTCTGCAATTGGATAGGTTTCGTACTCTGGTTCTGTACTCGGATAGCCATCGTAGCCCTACTGTACAAGCGCTTCAACACTTCGATATACCGACAGTCAACTTGGCATCGCTGAAGGGACTGCAGCACCGCCCAAATTTCGACGGAATCAAAGGCTTTCTCATAGTCCACATACGCCAGACATAGTGGCAAATTGTACTCCTCGGACTTCTGTACAATTTGCCGAAGGGTATGTATGTGGTCTATGGTGCTAAAGCCTTTTCGGAAACCGGCTTGTTCGGGAGGCTGGAAGTCGTCAAGTCTGCGCGCGAGACGATTCGTAATGACTCTCGAAAACAGCACGTAGACGCGGCTCAGAAGGGAAATCGGTCTGTAGTTCTTCAAGAGAGCGTTGTCGCCTTTCTTGAAGAACAAGACCACCGCACTTCTGCTCCACGCCTCCGGTGTAATGCCACCATGGAGGACGGAATTAAAGAGCTTCTGAAGGACTTCAAGTACCGGTTTTCCACCCGCTTTCAGAAGCTCCGCTGTAATTCCATCCTGGCCTGGGGCCTTGCCGTTTTTAAGGTGCTGGAGAGCCATTCTAATCTCGCTCAGACTGACGTCCGGGATATCATCGGAATAATGTCGGATAAGACTCGCTCTTGGATCGTTACTCACACTTGCGTGTGGCTCCAACGATGACGTGTACAGCTGCCCATAGAACCTCTCAATCTCACTCAAAATCTCAGGTGCCCCGGAAACGATGCTGCCACATTCGGTCTTCAGCTTTGACAGTTGGCTCTTTCTGGCAGACAGATCTCTGGCAAAGACTTTGGAGCCTTGGTTCCGCTCGATCGCTTCTTCAATACGAGCTGTATTGAAGTTGCGTAAGTCCCGCCGCATGCATTTGGAGATCTGTCTGTTCAGTTGCCTGTATGCTGTCAAATCTGTTGAAGAATGTAGCTTCATCTCCCGTCTAACAGCCATGAGATTAAGAGTGTGATCGGAGAGTTTTTGTGTTCTTCTGCGGCGGGTCTTGCAGAACTTAGCTCCGACCGCATGGACAGTTTCCACGAGCTTGTCATTCAAATCGTCCACTTCATTGCAGTCTTCTAGGCACTGAAAACGGTTTTGCAACTCGAGCTGAAAGGTTTCGGGACTTTGGATTAGAGCACGAGGGGGACGGAGCGTTGACTTCATTAGACGAGACCTCTCCAACTTAACGTTTAGGTTCAGTGTGCCTCTAACCATTCGGTGATCGCTGCCGGTTTTCACCCTCGCGATCACTGAGACATCACTGAACAGTTGTCGTCTGGTCGTCATAATGAAGTCAATCTCATTTTTTGTCGAACCGTCGGGGCTCGACCAGGTCCACTTCCTGTGGGGCCGCTTCTGGAAGAAAGAGTTCATCATAAAAAGTCCCTCTTTCTCCATGAAGTCGGCCAACTGCTGGCCCCTTGGGTTCCGTTGCCCTATTCCAAATTTCCCCACTTTCAGCTCACCGTTCTCTCTTGTGCCTAGTTTTGCATTGAAGTCTCCCATTAACACCGTATATTGGGTTTTGGAGGAATGCATGGCTCTAGAGATATCCTCATACATTTCCTCCACCTCCTGATCGGGGTGTGCCGAGGTTGGTGCGTAAACCTGTATGACCTTCAGCGAATACCGTTTGGTGATTCTGAGTATAAGGTACGCAACCCTCGTCGACACACTCTCAATCTTTACAACGTTGTTAACGAGAGACTTGTGGACGATAAATCCGACACCTCCTTGGGACAGATGGTCGCCCTCCCGGTGATAGAGCAAGTTGCCGGATTCGAGGATTACCGTGTCCTCCCCCTCTCTTCGGACTTCGGATAATCCTATAATATGCCAGCGTAACTTGTCTATCTCTTCTTCCAGCTCCACAATCTTCTCGTCAGTCCTCAGGGTGCGTGCGTTGTATGTTGCCAGGTCGAGTCGTTGTAGGTGGCAACCGAACCTCCACCGGAGATTCTTAGCACCCCCTGCCCCGCCGTTACCATGGTCGCCACCGTAGCCAGGAATAGCGGGGCCGCCGGGGACTGGGGGCCGTCTCTTCGTAACTTTCATTATGGGGGGTATATTGCCATAGTTGCCACGCTTGGCGAGCGGGTTGGCAACCGCAGTTTTTTATTGTATTTTGTCGTTACCAGGAAGATGCTGCTGCCCATCTCCTGCCTGTTTCCCTTTGTCGCCTTTTACGACACCCACGGGAAGATATGGGGTAGTGGATATTCTTAACCGCCACTACACGGCAATTATAGTCGATAGTCTATTTTACAGGATCCAACTCATTTGTAACTGTCTCAAAATGAACCGTGATCTATTCAAAAGAGCCGTGTAGTGTGTGTAAGAAAGTGTGTAAGTATATTCACAAAACAAACCCGTCCGTCACACGTGGCAACTATGGCAAATATCCCCCCTATGAAACAATCTATGCCAGAGGCCTACTTTCAGCAGTGGAGTTTTGATAGGCTGCTACAGTAACTTCTTTTTTTTCTTCTTTTAAATTATGGCTTCTCTCAATAGAATTCTGCCAGAGTCAAGTCAGTAACAGTAACTTCTAAAAGAAGTTGTATGTTCTTAAAAAACGGTATTATGTAATACATAAATAATAAGTTAGTTAATTTTCATAATATATTTATTCAATTGATCTTTAATACTTTCTTTTATAAATCTTATTACCGACTTCAAAACAAGGAGGAGGTAATCAGTTCGAATGTATTTTTATGTGTGTTACCTAAGAAATATTTCTAGGTGAAGTGTATTTGATGATTTTTTTTTATTTGTAAGCTGGTACTTCTCATGTGGCCCCATGTAAATTCGATCACGATCTGAGTTTAGTTTTCCAGTTATCCTTAATATTGCGTATTTAATTGACTTCGACTACATTGAGGATATTCTCATTTTATTAATATTGAAGTCGATTGAAGATTTTTTTTTAATTTACCACTTGCCGCATCTCCTAAGTAGTGTTCTCTGCTTACTCATATGTTTATTGGTAGAGAAAGTCGACCTTTGTACTTTTTGTGCAACAAAGTTTATATAAATAATACTTATATAACATTCTTAAGTAAAAACTGTCTGATAAGTTTTGACTTGCTATTCCTGTATTATCGTTCAAATAAAAGCTATAAGTGGATTTGGATATGTACGTGTTACAACTTTGTGGTTTAAATATTACAATTAGTCGAACCGCACAAGTGCTCCAGTAGTGATGAAAACGTAATTTATGATGTAAATTCTGACTTCATCTTCAAGTTATTTTTCAAAGAATAGCCAAATAATTGTAAACTTAAGTTCAAATATATAAATAATGATATACCTTTAATGGCGTTTTTGGAAATACGAGTAAATAAGGCTTCTACTTTTATTTGAAATTATCCCAAATTGAATGTAATTTATGTACGTGCACAAGTAAAATTAGTAAAATTTTTTTTTATTAATTTTTATTCACTTATTGCCTATATTATTTATTCAGAACCTTCCATGCAAATTTGGCCGGATATTGCAGAATAACTTCGTATACTAATAGTAAGAGTTTATAATCAAAGAATAGTTTACCTGCGTCTCTGTAGGCGACGCCTTGCGTGCGCATTATCGCAATGCAGGAATCGATCGTATACCATGTTGCCGAGCGAGACAGCTTGCGCACGCGTTGTTGATGTGGCGCGGCGCAAATGCAGATTCGCTTAAAAAGAATAAATAATTAAACGAAACATAAAACAAACAAAACAAGAAATTTGGTAAGAGAATTGATAGCGTAAGACGCTTTTTTACTGTGTATAAATTACATGTAAAAATTATATTTTATTTATTTAGAGCCGCATACAAGTTAAGAATCTACATGATTGTGCCTATAAAAACGCAAACCAATTAAAACAAGTAACTGCAATTCAAAATTATAAACCATGTTATTACCACGTCTCCAGTTCTTATCTAATAAAATGCTATGCCTTATGTTTAAACTTCTAGCTCTTCGGGAAATTAGTTGAAAATAGATTACGAAATATTTACCAAACAGACATGCAATCAAACCGACAGACAGAAAGTGAGTTTATAAGAGTCCACAAACTACTAGGCAGAAATTCTTGAAAAATAAACAAAGAAAACCATTTGGAATAGGTACATGATGCACTCCTGTCCAATATTTGACAACGGCAACAAACAACGTCTAAATAATCGAAAGTTGTTGGTACAAGTTGTTAAGTGCGTAGAAGAATTTTTGTTTAGTTTACTTTACTAGTTAAAATAATTATCTTCTTAAGTTAGGGACTTCTAGGACAGTAGCCTAATGGTAGGGTGAGGACTTGCAAACTCAAAAAGTTATGGGTGCAAATCAGACATTCAAATGTGGTGAAACACTCTGTACTAAAGCAATATAAGCTTACTTAGCGTGATTAAAGTGAAGAGGGTAATTAAATCTTTTTTTTTTACAGTATAGGGGGCAAACGAGCATGCGGCTCACCTGATGGTAAGTGACTACCGCCGCCCATGAACAACTGCAACACCAGGGGAATTGCAGATGAGCTGCCGGCCTTTTAGAAAGATGTAAGCTCTTTTCTTGAAGGTTCCTAAGTCGTATAGGTCCGGAAAATTCGCTGGTGGTAATTGATTCCACAAGGAAGTTGTGCGAGGTAGAAAACTTCTTCTAAATCGCACAGTGGTGGACCGCCAATCATCCAGATGGTATGGATGGTAACGCGAGTTTTGTCACGATGTGCGATGGTGAAATTGAGCGGCTGGAATTAGTCCGAACAATTCCTCAGAGCACTCGCCGTGATAGATGCGATAAAATATGCAAAGAGATGCAACATCTCTACGCAGTGCCAGTGTATCGAGCCGATCAGAAAGAACTCGGTCGTCGACGATTCGAATCGCTCTGCGCTGGATGCGGTCAAATGGAAGGAGCTGGCACTGGGGTGCCCCGGCCCAGAGATGAGAACAGTATTCCATGTGGGGCCGAACTTGCGCTTTGTAAAGTTGCAAACGATGTGCCGGCATGAAATACTGTCTCGCTCTGCTGAGCACGCCAAGCTTTTTAGAGGCCAATTTGGCCTTCCCTTCCAAGTGACCACGAAACTGCACGCTATTCGATATGGTAACGCGAGTTTTGTCACGATGTGCGATAGTGAAATTGAGCGGCTGGAATTAGTCCGAACAATTCCTCAGAGCACTCGCCGTGATAGATGCGATAAAATATGCAAAGAGATGCAACATCTCTACGCAGTGCCAGTGTATCGAGCCGATCAGAAAGAACTCGGTCGTCGACGATTCGAATAGCTCTGCGCTGGATGCGGTCAAATGGAAGGAGCTGGCACTGGGGTGCCCCGGCCCAGAGATGAGAACAGTATTCCATGTGGGGCCGAACTTGCGCTTTGTAAAGTTGCAAGCGATGTGCCGGCATGAAATACTGTCTCGCTCTGCTGAGCACGCCAAGCTTTTTAGAGGCCAATTTGGCCTTCCCTTCCAAGTGACCACGAAACTGCACGCTATTCGATATGTCGACGCCAAGGATTCCGATACTGGCTGAGGCAGCAAGTGGAGTGCCTTGAAACTGAGGAGATACGACAAAGGGGTTCTTTTTAGCGGTAAACGCGCAAACTTGTGTCTTCTGGGGATTGAACTGAACTAGATTTAGTCGGCCCCAATCCGAGACTTTGTTAAGCAAAGACTCGACTTCAGACACAAGTTTGTCCCGGTACTCGGCGACGTTTTCCCGAGAAACATTGGCACGGCCGGTATATAAGGCATCCCCAGTGCTGTCGTCTGCATAGCAATGAATGCTACCAGTTAGCAACATATCATTGATATGCAAGAGAAACAGCGTTGGTGATAGCACGCAGCCTTGTGGAACACCAGCGTTGATAGGCTTGAAATCAGAGCATGCACCGTCTACTACGACCTTGATGCTCCGATCAGCAAGGAAACTGGTGATCCATTTGCACAATTTCTCGGGAAGTCCATAGGAAGGGAGCTTCGAAAGAAGCGCCTTGTGCCAGACCCGATCGAAGGCCTTCGCTATGTCCAAACTAACGGCCAATGCCTCCACCTTGGACTCTACTGCCTCCGCCCATCTATGAGTTAAGTAAACTAGAAGATCACCTGCTGATCGACCCCGACGAAAACCGTACTGGCGGTCACTGATCAGCTGGTGATCCTCAAGGTACCTCATGAGCTGGCAGTTTATAATGGATTCCATTATTTTGGAGAACAAGGAGGTGATGGCGATAGGCCTGTAGTTGGACGGGTCTGAGCGGTCGCCTTTTTTAGGGATCGGTTGGACCAAAGCTGTCTTCCATGAATTCGGGACTACGTCTTGGGAGTAGGAGTACCGGAAAAGACGCGTTAAAACCGGTGCCAACTCTCCGGAGTCGCCGGCACACGTCTTCAGCACAATGGGAGGGACTCCATCGGGCCCACTCGACTTGCTGACGTCCAGGGAGAAGAGTGCTTTACGAACCCAGCGCTGTGTAAATCGCACATCCGGCATGGAGCACTCACATCGCGGGATGGTCGGCGGTGTGTTCCCCCCGTCATCTAGAGTCCAGTTAGACGCAAAAAGAGAGCACAACAGATCGTCTTTCTCTTTTGCGGCATTGGCCAGTGAGTCGTCCTCTCTGTGCAGAGATGGAAGAGATGGCTGACAGAAGTTCCCTTGGACAGCCTTGGCGAGAGACCAGAATGCACGGGTTCCCGAAGGAAGGCGAACTAGCTTCTCGCCAATTCTGCCGATGTTGATGCGTCAGCCCAGGCCCGGTAGCACTCCTGCTTATAACGTTATGCTATTTTACAGGAGCGACCAAACCATGGTTGGGATCTGCCTCAGATGGGCACCACAGAGGATGGAATAAAAAGTTCCATACCCTGAAGTACCACATCAGCAACAGAATCGGCAACAACGCTGGGATCTTCCGGCGAGAAGCAAACCCAAGGGTACGATGCAAAAAAAGACCGCATCCCGTCCCAATCAGCTGACCTATAGTGCCAAACACGGCGGCAAGCTGCAGATCGCAACTGCGATTGGAGCGTAAGTGGCACCGTGCTCCGGATCAGACAATGGTCCGAAGAACCCAGAGGGGCATCGACGGAGACCTGAAATCCGTCCGGATGAGAGGTCAGCAGAAGGTCCAATAGGGAAGGTACATGGTCTTCCACATCTGGGATCCGCGTAGGCGAAGTAACCAGTTGTGTTAGACCATATGCCAAAGCAAAGTCATAGACAGATCTACCCGCATGATCGGTTAAACGAGAACCAAGCCATTCAGAGTGGTGGGCGTTGAAATCACCGAGTATCACGATCTCTGCGGATGGGACCTGATGTAGCACGGAGTCTGCAGCCATTTGGACGTGGTCGATGAGTCGGCATTACCGCTATGGGACCTATAGAGGCACCCGTAGACGCGGGGATAGTCGTCGCTGTCTACGCGCAGCCATAGGATGGACAAGTCCGTACCTTCAAGGCTGCCGAGGCGTCGAAAACAGATGTCCTCTCTGACGTATACAAAAACTCCAGCCCGGGGCACAAAGGAGTGTTCCAATTTGTACCCCAGGTAGGAGAGATATGAAGTATCAGCCGGAGAGGACACCTGAGTCTCGGTTAAAAAGAGCAAGGCCGGCTTCGCCCTCTCTAGATGGTAATGGACAGCGTTAAGGTTGGAATGAAGTCCCCTGATATTGCAAAAATTCACGGATAGCGTGACAGGGGTCTCCTTGGTGGTATTGCTCCGCTTGCCCCGAGCAGCATTAGTCGCGAGCGGAATTTTGCCCCCCCCCCCCCCTCCCCCCAGAATACGCGGGGCAGCCTGAGCACCCACGCTCAAGAGTGAAGTAGTTTGGTCGTGGATGCTCAGCGAGGGATTCTCCAGCGGTGCTGGTACCCTCCTGGGGTAGTATTTTACCATGTTGATTGGGGGGAATTTGGCCTCCGGCCACCTGCACTCACCAAGCGCAACGCAGAGGTAAACCTCTACTTCACGCTGGTATTCTGTGAGGTCGTGATACCACCCCGGTTCGAGCTGGCCCATCCGTGCGACAGCAAAAGCTACCGCTTGGCTCTACCACTGTAAAATTTAAACTTTTATGTTAAATTTGGAGCCTATAGATATAAAACGGTGTTACAGTATATGATGTTAGGTATTATAGACACGGCTTTGATTAATGTACACAGTAAAAATAAATAATCTGTTTAAGTTAGTGAGTTTTTCGACAGTAGCCTAATGGTAGGGTGCGGACTGCAAACTCAGTCATGGAGTCGAATGCGGTATTCGATTATTGTGGTGAACGACTCCTAACACAAGCATTTTAAGCCTATTTAGAGGGTTAAAACTTTTAACCACTCTATTCATATTTTAGCTTAAAAATAGAGATGGTAATTAACATTTCTTGATCGATTTGTCCTATAGATATAAAACGGTGTTACAGTATATGATGTGATGTCTAACATAAGAATGAGAATTATTAGAGTATTATAAGTAGATTGTGCAACCTGTGTTCTGATTGTATAATTTTATTTTGAAAAAGAAATTTCCACTGGGTTTCTTGCTGGTTCTTCCCAGGACAGAGGGATTTTTGTGATAGTCAGCCACCGCAGTCTACATCACCTGAGGATGCCTTGTGTCGAGGCGAAACACGTGTCGTATTGTCGTCAGTGGTGTGTCCTTCCTAGTGTAGTGGTGTTGGGATTAGTGGTGCTGGGATTAGTGTTGACGGGGATAGTGCACGCAATTGAGGGAGGGCGGGAGGTGCTCTTCATACTAGGTAAGACACATCATTTTATTTTATAGAGCGGATTTTTGCGAAGGAAGTTTTTAAAAGCTTTAATATTTTAAAAGCTTTAAGAAGTCACTTTTTGTTTCTACCACTGGTTCGAAAAAACCTCTGTCCCAGCAAAACCAACTAGAAATCCGGCGGGACGCTTTTTTACTACAATTTTCCTGAAAATGTTAATACCTTTGATCATTTAGATATTATATGATATATACCAACCAGATCAACACACAATAATGTGCTAGAAAATGCAATTAGCGCTGATTGAACTATCTCGAAGAATGTCAGATATAAGATACACAAGACTGTTGTGTTGCACAATTAGAGGCAGACAATCTTTATTGTCCACCAGTCCTATAGCTGAACTTTATTATAATAAAAGCCATATATTAATACAGCTTTTTTGTAAGTGGCAGAGCCATGCTGCAGCTATATTAGTAGTACAGCTGCAGCACAAATGGGTCAGCTCGACCGAGGAAGGACCACGCTCCCACAGAATACCAGCGTAAAATATCAGCTTAACACTGCTGTGTTTCGTATGGTGAGTGTAGAGAACCGGAGACTCTTTTTACTGGAAAAGAGGCATTCCAGTCCTCACGGGTGACAACGCATCTGTATTTCGATTCTTTACTGAGGATAGATGTAGATGTCTATGGGTCACGGCAACCACTTACCATAAGGTGAACAGTGTGTTCATCTTAGATGTCTTAGGGAGAATAGAATAGAATATTTTTTATTCAATATACATGTGTAATTCTTATTGAAAGTCATTTTTTACTTTACCACTGGTTCAAAAAAACCCTCTGTCCTGGGAAGAACCAGCAAGAAACCCAGCGGGACTTTTTTTTAAATAAATTTTACAATATAAATGATTACAAACTATTTACAAAATTTATTTTAGAAACTGCTTGGAAGCGACCACCTCATTCCCAGGGGTTATTATCAACCATGTATTCATTTATACTATCATCATCATCATTACAGCCCTTCACAAGTCCACTGCTGAACATAGGCCTCCCCCAAAGAATGCCACAAAGCACGGTCCTGAGCCACCTGCATCCATCGACTTCCTGCATGTCTTACCAGGTCGTCACTCCATCTCGTGGGGGGACGCCCTACACTTCGCCTACCGGTACGAGGCTGCCACTCGAGAACCTTTCTTCCCCATCGGTTGTCGGTTCTTCGAGCTATATGGCCGGCCCACTGCCACTTCAGCTTACTAATCCGTTGGGCTATGTCGGTTACTCTGGTTCTACTGCGGATATCCTCATTCCTAAGTTTATCACGCAGAGAAACTCCGAGCATAGCCCTCTCCATAGCTCGCTGAGCGACCTTGAGCTTCCTCATACGGCCAGCAGTGAAGGAACACGTCTCAGTTCCGTAAGTCACCACTGGCAACACGCACTGGTCCTCAGGGTGCGTGCGTTGTACGTTGCCAGGTCAAGTCGTCTAAGGTGGCAACCGAACCTCCACCGGAGATTCTTAGCACCCCCTGCCCCGCCGTTACCATGGTCGCCACCGTAGCCAGGAATAGCGGGGCCGCCGGGGACTGGGGGCCGTCTCTTTGTTACAATCATAGAGGGGGTATTTGCCATAGTTGCCACGCTTGGCGAGCGGGTTGGCAACCGCAGTTTTTTTATTATAATTTTGGCTATTATCAGGAAGATGCTGCTGTCCATCTCCTGCCTGTTTCCCTTTGTCGCCTTTTACGACACCCACGGGAGGATATGGGGTAGTGGATATTCTTGACCGCCACTACACGGCATTTATACTATAATAACTCTTTTTATACAGTTTCAGCTTAATAAAACATTTAAACTTGGTAATAGAGAGAACCTGTACACTTTCCGGGACCTTGTTGTAATAGCATATACATTGCCCCAAGAATGAATTACTGACTCTGTGGAGTCGAGAAACTGGCATCCCTAGCTTGTGTTTGTTCCTAGTGTTTACAGAATGTATATCACTTTTTTACTAAAACTATCTTTGTTTTTGTGAACATACATTAAATTTTCGTAAATATACTGAGAGGCCAAAGTTAATATATTAATTTCTTTAAATTTATCTCTAAGAGACTCTCTCGGTTTTAGATTGTAAATAGCTCTAATGGCCCTCTTCTGTAAAACAAAAATAGTTTCTGAATCAGCCGCATTTCCCCATAGCAAAATCCCATAAAACACTATGCTATGGAAATAACTAAAATAAACTAATCTAGCTGTCTCGACACTAGTGAGACCTCTTAATCTTTTTTACAGCATAGGCTGCAGAACTTAGTCTGCTTGCTAATTTGGATATATGGGGGCCCCACTGGAGCTTTGCGTCAAGAGTGATGCCAAGGAAAACAGTGGATACAACAGGGCTCAATTCCTCCCCATTTAAAAACACATAGGTATTCAGATTTTTAACATTCGTTGTTGTAAATTTAACACAATTAGTTTTATTTCCGTTCAAATGCATATTATTAACGTTAAACCAATGCACTAACTTTGATATAGCATTATTCACTTCGTCACATTTAAATGATTGACGTTTAAGTTTAAAAATCAAGGAAGTATCATCAGCAAATAATACTATATCATGACTATCCCCTACAAGGTGAGGTAAGTCATTAATATACACCAGAAACAGGAATGGGCCGAGAATCGAGCCCTGAGGAACACCCATTAGTACAGGTGACCCGGAAAAATTATTAATACTAAATTTTATTACTTATTTGTGGGTTGTATTCAAAATTAATTAAACTCTTATTATTGCTAGAGATTGCCTCTATTGTCACATTCACTAATTTAAATTAGTTGGAACTGATTCCAAATTAAGTGTCAAATGATTATGCTCAATAAAAGCAGTCTTGGTAGCCAAAAACTTGGCTGAGTTAAAAAGTAAATAATAAGATAGCACATTTGCTATCCGTCTTAAATTATATTTGGATAGGACAATTTACAATATTCGCCACGTTTAGGAGGCAGATTAGTGATAACCGTGTATTGAAGCTGTAAGAATATATAGTATCCAATATCATCTCGTGAGTGCAGTAAGAGGCGGCAGAGGGAAACTGAATCAGCTGATGGTGAACAGCATCTTCCTGACAACAGATGAAAAAAATCTGCGGTTTCACTTGCTCATAGAGGCAACTGTGACAAATATCTCACCTATTAAGGAATGTTTTAGTGAGGCCTATGTTCAGCAGAACTTTTGAAACACCTTTACTCTGCTCCCCTTTACCAGTCTAGAAATTTTACGCCTTTTGTGATAATTAAATAAAATAAAAATAAACTCACGTTGCCTGGTGGTATTGCTGTTGTTCTGCTGTTGCTCTTGGCCCTCAGGTGTTGCAGTTGTATTGGCCTGTGATTGGCCTTCATTCTGGCTTGGGGTGCCGGTAGCGGTCTGATTACCCTGAGCCGATGTAGGCGATGCAGCCGATGAAGACATCTGGGCATGCAGGGCAACACCTTCCACTCCGGGTACTTGACGAATCACTGAGGATACTATGTTTTGAAGCAGATCAGCGCTCGGCGGGCCACCCCAAGGCATTTGAGCGAGATAAACTATGAAATGAAATGAAATGTCCAATTAAAAGCAACATACAGCAAAATTATCGGTCGAGGGTTGTCAACTTTACTAGGTATTTTATAAGGATTAATTCACTATGTTATCAAATTTAATCTGTGGAGAACTGAATAAATTCATGAGGAAGCCAATTGACAAATTTGTAGAACCCTTCAATTATTACGGTAATATTTAGGAGGGACCCCTCACAGCCAAAGAGTATATAATTACTACGTTTACTCAGAACCATAGAAGAAGGGTACAGGGGCAAAACAAGGAATGTCACTAAAACAGGTTTTTGTGTAATTACCATTTTAATGTTTGAAAGTTTATAATTTTGTCTTACATATTAATTGTTTTAAAACAACTAATAGGAACTTTAGTTTACCTTATAGAGATAAGCTGTGGATACAAATAATCTTTTGGCAAATATTAACAAATATGTAAAATTTTAAAAATAAAAGTAATTAACTTTTATAAAGTACTAAAACATGGAATGTCCTATATAACCCATACAGGGAATGTCCAAATCTGGTACTATATATGAGTAATGCTTTCAAAATAGGCTTGTGCATCAACAGAATTAAATCTTTTTAAGTCATAAGGTCTTTGTGCTTGTCTGCAGTAATTGGCAAATAATCTTGGTAGGCAAATCCAGGCAATTCAAATTCATTGCTACATCCCGGTTGATTCGCTCTTCTCTTATTCAATATGGGTGACTTCTCCCATAAACCATTATAGTTGCCTTTATGAAGAATGAACCTTGAATGTTCTCTCACACTCATTATTTCACTTTGGGCCTGGATTGGAAAAGAGCACTTTTACTTGTACTGATTCTGAAAAAAATCTGTAAATTTCCTTATAATTTCACCCTTACCCACTTCAATAACTTCAGAGGGTTCGGACCCCATTAGATGGAGTGACGACCTGGTAAGACATGCAGGAGGTCGATGGATGCAGGTGGCTCAGGACCGTGCTTTGTGGCAGTCTTTGGCGACTTATTTTTAGCAAGTCATACCATTGGCATGGGAATTCCATGTGAATTTTAAAATTGTTCGGGCCCATACTTTTGTCGCATTCTAAATATGAATGTCCTCTAATGGGGTATGTTATTTTAATGGAGTCCAAAATTTTCATTACAGGAACCAAAATATGTATGAACACAGTATAATTCTTGTTTTGTCCTCTTGCAGAGTCCTAAAATATTACTAAGTGTTTCACACGATGATCTATATGATTTTTTTAAATAGTAAAATAAAATTAACAATTTTTTGTTAATCTAATTCTACCGTATTAAATACATCAATGACGAGTACATCACTCACTTTCGATTTGCCGATGATATAGTCCTTATGGCAGAATCGCTGGAGGACCTAAGCACTATGCTCAATGACCTCAATAGTGTCTCCCAACGTATAGGTCTTAAGATGAACATCAAAACAAAAATGATGTTTAACGTCCATATCACACCTATGCCGGTAGTTGTTGGGAGCACTAAGCTCGAAGTTGTTGACGGGTATGTTTACTTGGGACAAATAGTCCGACTAGGTAAGTCCAACTTCGACTGAGAGGTCAATCGACGGATTGAACTCGGCTGGGCAACGTTCGGGAAACTACGTCACATCTTCTCGTTAGACACATACCTCAAAACCTTAAAATGAAATTGTACAACCAGTGCGTGTTGCCAGTGATGACTTACGGATCTGAGACGTGGTCCTTCACTGCGGGCCGTATGAGGAAGCTGAAGGTCGCTCAGCGAGCTATGGAGAGGGCTATGCTCGGGGTTTCTCTGCATGATAAACTTAGAATTGAGGATATCCGCAGTAGAACCAGAGTAACCGACATAGCCCAACGGATTAGTAAGCTGAAGGGGCAGTGGGCCGGCCATATAGCTCGAAGAACCGACAATCGATGGGGAAGAAAAGTTCTCGAGTGGCAGCCTCGTACCGGCAGGCGAAGTGTAGGGCGACTCCCCATTAGATGGAGTGACGACCTGGTAAGACATGCAGGAGGTCGATGGATGCAGGTGGCTCAGGACCATGCTTTGTGGCATTCTTTGGGGAGACCTATGTTCAGCAGTGGACTTATGAAAGGCTGTAATGAGGATGATGATGACGAAATACATGTGCAAAAAACATCGATAATGGCCAACATCGATGTTTTGAGTAGGTTAAACATCGAACATCGATGTTGAGCTATCGATATCAACATTGATGTCATCAACGATATTTCTACAACATCAACCATCCCTAATCTGACATTGACAGTTGGACATTCCATGTTACGTTCCGTTTCACTAGGGACATTCCCACTTTTACACATGTACAGGGTTTTGAAATATTGAAGATATGACGGACTATGATTGTTTTTATGCTTTTTACATAATGCTACATAAAAATACGCGCGAAAATCTTATTGTTGCTATACTTAATTTATATTTGAAGTTTTTGTGACATTCCTTGTTTTGCCCCTGTACCCTTTGAAGAGTGCTCAGAACAATTATTTTTTAAATGTTATTTATAAGAAATAAACAACTCAAATTTTATTAGAATTAGTTTCGATATTACTAAATTACGCTTCTCTAAATTAAGAGAATTTAGTTCAAATGACGAGTTTCCGCCTTTACCTAAAAATTCAAATTTTCAAATTCAAATTTCATTTATTTACAAGAATGTAGTTACAAAAAAGGTGTTGTTGCAATATTAAGGCGCTAATACATTCTACCCACTATTTGGGTGTGCAAATATTTAAATGGAAATAAGTTAATTAAATTACACTACACCAACACTACACAGATTCTTCGCGTCACTATTGTTAAACGTCACTAATTCCTTCACAGATTCCGCAATGTAATAAGTTCTTGAATATCATAAAATTGTTTCTCCATTAACCATTTCGTCAGTTTCTTCTTGAATATATTTACTGGGAGATTCTTAAAGTTATCCGGTATTTTATTATATATTGTAATAGTCATAAATATCACACTATTTTTTGCTTGATTTATTCTACATGTTGGAAAGTGCAGTTTATTTTGATACCTCGTTAACATATGCGAATTTACTTCTCCTTTCTTTTTAAAATATTCTGGGTGGTATTTAACAAATAAACATACTTCTCTTATATATATGCAGGTTAGTGTAAGGATACGTAATTTACCGAACATTGGTTTGCAACTGTCCCTTTGATGTAATCCGCACAAGGCCCGGATACATTTCTTTTGTGCTACAAATACTTTCCGCACCTCGCAAGACTGTCCCCAAAGAATTATTCCGTAAGAGAGTATCGACGATATATATGCATGGTAGGCATTTATTGCAGCATTCATAGATACAGTATCTCTTAGGCGACGTAATACGTAAACGAAACGATTTAACCTATTACAAGTATATTCAATATGACTGTCCCATTTTAGACCTTCGTCTACCAGAACACCTAAGAATTTATGGTGTTTTACCTGTTCGATTACTTGATCATTACATTTTATGTCTAGATTAATTTTGGTGCAATTCTTTGTATAATATTGAATTATTTTTGTTTTTACTAAGTTTATTTTCAGATTATTATTTTGTAACCATTTTACTATATTATGTAATGCTGTATTTATATCTCTCTCATATGTATTTTTGTCCGTGCATTTAATAATAATCGTCGTGTCGTCTGCAAATAAAACTGTTTTGTGTTTCACTGATCTCGGTAAATCGTTAATATATAAGAGGAATAAAAATGGACCGAGCACACTTCCTTGTGGTACACCTGATTTATTAACTTTTTTCTCTGACCTATATGAGTTTCGTGTTTGATTTATCATTTTATGAATCTCCACATACTGATATCTATCATTTAAGTAACTTGCAACCCATTCTTTAGCAATTCCTCTTATGCCATATTTCTCCAACTTAAACAAGAGTAATTGATGGTCCACAAAATCAAATGCTTTGCTCATATCTAAGAATATAGTGGCTGCTGGTTTTTTTTCAATAAAGGCTTGAATTATTTCTTTTACCATGTCGAAGCATGCTAAAGAAGTAGAACTATTTTTTCTAAATCCAAACTGTTCCCGACATAATATTTTGTTTTTATCAACATAATTTTGAAATCTTTCTAAAATTACCTTTTCAAATATCTTAGATAAAACTGGAATTAGTGCTATCGGTCTGTAGTTTTTAATATCATTTGGATCATCTTTTTTATATAACGGTTTTATAACTGATGTTTTTAGAACATGAGGAAAAGTTCCTTGCTCCATAGATAAATTGACAAGAAAGGATAACGGTTTGCAAATATGTACACTGGAAGCCTTTAGTATTTTTGTACTTATACCGTCTGTTCCTACGGAATTCGTGTTATTTAGGGATTTTATTACTTTTAAAATTTCGTCACTGCTTGTTGGTGTCAAGAATATTGTATTACATTTTTCCGTAGTCAATGTTGTTTTTATTTCAGTTGCTTCATAATTAAAATTTGTTTGATTTGTTTTGTTAATAAAAAAGTTATTAAATTGTTCACATATATCATTCATTGAGTTGTATACATTATTATTGACTACAATCTTTTCTATTTCTTTAATATTGTTTTCGTCATTAATATTATTAGATATCATATACCATAAAGCCTTATTTTTATTTTTTGATAATTTAATAAATTTTTCACATTGAATTTGTTTTGACTTAAGAATGCACCTTTTTAGAATATTTTTGTATTTTATGTAATAACCCCAACTATTTGTAAATGTTTTCCTGTAATATATACTTTTTAAATATAGCAGTCGCTTTCGTACACAACATTTCTTCAATCCTTTGGTTATCCAATTAATATTAGGTTTTCCTGTGTTTCTCTTTATCTTAACAAATGGGAAACAGAGATTGTAAAACAGTTGGAATAATTCATAAAAAGTATTAAAGCATTCATTTAAGTTATTAAATTCATGTATTTCAGAGAAACTCAATGATGCCATGCACTCACAAAATTTACGTATATTCTGCTTACTGTAATCTCTTTT